GGAGTGTTGGCACATCTGGAAGAGGAAAGAGACTACAAGATCACGGACATAATCGTCAATTTCCAAGCTTTCTGTCGCGGTTTCTTGGCTAGGCGTAATTATCAGAAGCGTCTGCAGCAGCTTAACGCGATCCGTATTATTCAGAGAAACTGTGCGGCCTATTTGAAGCTGCGTAATTGGCAATGGTGGCGGCTGTATACCAAGGTGAAACCACTATTGGAAGTCACTAAGCAGGAGGAGAAGCTTACGCAGAAAGAGGATGAGCTGAAGCAGGTTCGCGATAAGCTGGAGTTACAGTTACACTCTGCTCAGGAGTATGAGCGTAAATATCAGCAGGCGATTGAAGAGAAAACTATGCTGGCCGAGCAACTACAGGCGGAAGTCGAGCTCTGCGCGGAAGCTGAAGAGATGAGAGCTCGACTGGCCGCAAGAAAGCAGGAGCTCGAGGAAATTTTGCACGATTTGGAAGCGCGTATCGAGGAAGAAGAAGAGAGAAGCGCCGCGTTGACTCAGGAGAAGAAAAAGCTACAGTTGAATATCAGTGATCTGGAAGAGCAATTGGAGGAAGAGGAAGCTGCTAGACAGAAATTGCAATTGGAGAAGGTCCAATGTGATGCAAAGATCAAGAAATTAGAGGAAGATCTTGCTTTGTCGGATGACACCAATCAAAAGTTGTTGAAGGAGAAGAAAATTCTTGAGGAGCGCGCCAATGATCTCTCACAGACTTTGGCAGAAGAAGAGGAGAAAGCGAAGCACTTGTCGAAACTGAAAGCTAAACACGAAGCGACGATCGCCGATCTTGAAGAAAGGCTTCTCAAGGATCATCAGCAACGTCAAGAGGTGGATAGATCTAAAAGAAAGGTCGAAACTGAGGTTTCGGATTTAAAGGAACAATTAGCTGAGAGGAAAACGCAAGTTGAGGAATACCAGCTTCAGCTTGGTAAACGCGAGGAAGAACTCAATCAAGTCATGGCGAAAATGGACGAAGAAGGAGCTGCTAAAGCTCAAGCCCAGAAAGCGCTCAGAGAATTAGAATCGCAATTAGCCGAGCTTCAGGAAGATTTAGAAGCCGAGAAAGCGGCTAGAGGTAAAGCGGAGAAACAGAAGCGCGATCTGAATGAAGAACTTGAAGCGCTGAAGAACGAATTGCTCGATTCTTTGGATACTACCGCGGCTCAGCAGGAATTAAGAAGCAAACGCGAGCAAGAACTTGCAACATTGAAAAAGAATTTAGAGGAGGAGACTTCGTCGCATGAAGCTACACTCGCTGATATGCGTCACAAGCATACGCAAGAATTGACTGCTTTGAACGAACAAATGGACGCGTTGAAAAAGACGAAGGCAGCCTTGGAGAAAGCGAAGGGCTCCTTGGAAGCCGAGAACGCCGATCTAGCGACAGAATTAAGATCGGTCAGCGCAAGCAGACAAGAGTCCGATCGACGTCGCAAACAGGCGGAACAACAGTTGGCGGAAATAAGCGCAAAACTAGCCGAAGTAGAGAGAAACAAGCAGGAACTGGTCGAGAAAGTGACGAAACTGCAACAAGAGGCAGAGAGCGTGATGCAGCAACTAGAAACTGCCGAACTGAAAGCATCTGCAGCGTTAAAAGCGTCGGCCACTTGCGAGTCACAATTTACCGAACTTCAACAACAGTTGGAAGAAGAAACCCGGCAGAAATTGGCTCTTAGTTCGAAGTTGCGCGCGTTAGAAAGTGAGAAGGAGAGCCTGCACGATCAACTTGAAGAGGAAGAAGAAGCGAAACGTGCCTTGGACAAGCAAGTGCTAAGTTTAAATATACAATTGGCAGAGGCCAAGAAACGCGCCGAGGAGGAAGCGGAAGCGGCCACTGCTCTCGAAGAGGCCAGAAAACGTTGCATGAAAGACATCGAAGCTCTTCAGCGGCAAGTTGAGGAATTACAGGCGGCTAATGATAAGTTGGACAAATCGAAGAAGAAGATTCAAGCGGAACTGGAAGATAGTATCATCGAGCTGGAGGCGCAGCGAGCAAAAGTACTTGAATTGGAGAAGAAGCAGAAGAACTTCGACAAGGTTCTGGCTGAAGAGAAGGCTGTGTCTGAACAGTACGCGGAACAACGAGACGCTGCGGAGAGAGAAGCACGTGAGAAGGAGACAAGAGTGTTATCATTGACTCGTGAATTGGATGAACTTAACGAGAAGGTTGAGGAATTAGAACGGGGTCGTCGAGGTCTGCAATCGGAATTAGACGAGTTGGTAAATAACCAAGGTACGGCTGATAAAAATGTTCACGAATTAGAGAAAGCGAAGCGCTCATTGGAGTCGCAGTTGCAAGAACAAAAGTCGCAGGTAGAAGAATTGGAGGATGAACTGCAGTTCACTGAAGACGCTAAACTGCGGTTAGAAGTGAACATGCAGGCATTACGAGCACAGTTTGAACGCGATCTTCAGACCAAGGAAGAGCAAGCGGAAGAGAAACGTCGAGGACTGGTGAAGCAGTTGCGTGATCTCGAGGCGGAGCTTGAGGACGAGAGAAAACAGCGTGCTGCGGCTATCGCAGCGCGTAAGAAAATGGAAGCGGATTACAAGGATATCGAACAACAATTGGAGATGCATAATAAGGTGAAGGAGGACGCTCTCAAGCAACTGAAGAAACTTCAGGCTCAAATCAAGGATTGCACCAGAGAGACAGAAGAAGCTAGGGCTGCCAGAGACGAACTAGCGGCTGCTTCCAAGGAAACGGAAAGAAAGGTTAAGAGCTTAGAAGCTGACTTGTTGCAACTGACCGAGGACTTTGCCGGCAGCGAACGCGCTAGAAGAACCGCCGAGAACGAGAGGGACGAGTTGCAGGAAGAGGTCAATAACAACGCCAATAAAGGTACTCTGATGTTGGATGAGAAACGTAGGCTGGAGGCGAGAATTGCCACGTTGGAAGAAGAACTGGAGGAAGAACAATCGAATGCTGAGATTGTGATGGATCGTGCCAGAAAGGGTCAGATTATGATCGAACAGTTGACAACGGATTTGGCGACCGAGCGATCCACCACGCAAAAGTTGGAGTCGCATAAGATGCTGCTGGAGAGACAAAACAAGGAACTCAAAGTCAAGTTGACCGAATTGGAAACTGCGCAACGTGCCAAGACCAAGGCTACGATACAACAGTTAGAATCGAAAATTAACAACCTCGATGAACAGCTCGAGACCGAAGCCAAGGAGAGATTCGCCCAGCAAAAGATCAATCGTAAATTGGAGAAGAAGTTGAAAGAATTGAGTCTGCAACTGGAGGATGAGAGACGAAATTCTGATCAGTATAAAGAACAGGCGGAGAAGGTCAATGCCAGGATGAAAGCATTGAAAAGACAATTGGACGAAGCGGAGGAGGAGATTAGTAGGCATAAGACCCAGAAGCGGAAAACGCAAAGAGAGATGGACGACATGATAGAATCTAATGAGGAGCTCACTCGAGAAGTGACGCAGCTGAGGAATAAATTAAGGTGATTTTATTTCTATTTTTCTTAAACAATGGAAGAGAGATAATTTTTCTTAAATAGCTAAAGAAAGATAAAGAATTTATAGGATATTTATAGGATATTAAATAGCGAGAGGATATTATTCTTTTGGATGATTTATCATGTTTATATATACATATATTCTTATGTTACGCTTTTTAGGCCATACGTATCTGTAACCTTAGGCGAACGTAATGAGGCAGTATTAAAGTAGTGTTTTATCTTTGAAGGAAGTGATCAACTTCTGACATGTGTAGGTGTCAAGAGAGAAAAAACGATTGGTATCCTACCTGAGAGAGTTTTTTGCTAGGAAACAATCCCATTAGTCTCCCCAGTGTGCTACAGTGAGTTAAACGAGCTCTTTTGGTTAATTTGAAACTGCTAACCCTGAAAGTAATAACGCCGACTTGGACTGCTCTACCTTGTGTGATAACGACATACTATATCTCCGACATATTTTTGAATGCTGTTGTTTGTGAATGTGTTTTTTCTTTTTTATTTGGTTTCGCAGTACATGCTATCGGTCAATAGTTTGAAAAAAAATGTATTTTCTAATATTTATTATCAGGCATTTTTACGCAGGACTTTAAATATGAATTTATTCAGATACAATTTGACTATATTTTCTATTACTCTGAAACTATGTATGATCTGTATTCAAATATTTTTTAATGATTTTAGTCTATATATTTATTCCTTAAAGTATTACAGTGCATTTATGAATATCTTGAATAGATACATTTTATCATATTATTTTTATTTATTTAATGTTAAAAATAAGTTCTTTTACGTAGAAAATTAAGCTTTTTGGGGGATTCTGATTAAAAAAATCAATGTATACATTTAAGCTATTGACCGATGGCGTATGTTTTTTTTTAATTCCACAGGTCTTTCCTATAATGACTAGACACATTGTCTAATTAATGTAATGTAATCTGTTTGAAGGCGCGGCGGTGGTCCTCCGATAAGTCTGAGCTCCACGAGGCTGAAACGCGGTTCCGTGCAAACCGGCGGCTCGGGCGACGACTCAACGACGCAGGACGAGAGCATCGACGGCGAGGAGACAGCCAATTGAGAATATCGGAGTCGATCCAATGTGCTCTCGAACTTCTGTGAATTATGTATATATATATACGTGCGTCGAGAAAGGGTGTTGGCTTTTTTGTTCGATTCGGCGCGTCGCGAGTATGAGACTAACTCCACGAGATTAAAATCAAAAGTCGTTTCGACGTGTACACCGCGGCGTTTTCCGGCCTTAACATTAATCACGATGAAATAACGATTATCTCCCTCTCCTTAGGGGGAACATTTAGTTAACCGATTTACAGTGCCGATAATTTGAAGGGAAAGAGCCAAGAGGATGCGAAAAGTAACAAGAGAATAATCGAAGGACTTTTGATACATTTTATATACGAACGCAAAACGTTGACCGCATTTTACGTATATATAAGAAAAAAAAAGATAGTGTGTGATAGAGAGAAGTGAGGGGTAAAATAAATTTTTGGAGAAGGAAACTTGATCGTGATTGAATTTATTGGGGTATGAATTTATTTAAACTTATGAATCATATATAAATTAAATTAAATCGAAAAGAAAAAAACGGGAGGTCGTTTTTATTTTGACGCAGTCACTCGCTTAATTTCCTCGAGCTGTCGGACCAGTCCGGGACTCGCGAGATCCAACGGAGTCTTCCGCTCCTTGTTGGTGATCGTCAGGTCTGCTCCGCGCGCCGTCAGCAGCTTTGCCTCTTCTACGCGGTTCTCCTCGCAAGCGAGATGCAATGGCGTGTTACCGTATGCGTCCCTTTGATCTGAAAAAGGAAAAAAAATGCATGTAAAATTATCTCATCGATATTTCGAGGGAGAGCGAGCGAACCTTTGTACTTCTCTAAGTTAATCGAAAATATTTATATATAAATATATATAGATATATATATTATATATATAGATTATATTTGATATTTTATATATTATTATACTGTAAAACCGAAAGAAAGATAGATAGTTAGAGAGAAACTATTTCAGTAAGACACTCTTCCGCTACCTATATTCAATTTCTTCCCGTACTCTATAAGGAGTTGGACGATGGCGGTGTTGCCCTTAGAGGCGGATCTGTGCAGCGGCGTGGCGCCTCGTTTGTCCGCGATGTTCACGTCGGCGTCCCTCTCGAGCAACTCCATGCAGATGGATTTCCAGTTCTTCGACGCCGCGTACTGCAACGCCGAATGGCCATCGACCGTCACCGCGTTCACGTTCGCCCCCTCGGTCAGCAGCGTGTTGACGACCTTCTCGCGACCGGCGGATGACGCCAGGATCAGCGGGGTCATGTTCGTCTGCGAAACATTTCGACCGTGCGATCAAATGTCATTTAAAAAAACCGCTGTTCGATTTCGTACGAGGAGAGATATTAGCCGGAATGAAAGATTATGCGACATTGCGTGATGAGGCTGGCGTTAAACTATTCGCGATTCGCGATGCGTGATTCGTGAATAGTATATATATACATATATATAAATCCGATTTGACAGATCTTCCGTCTATACTGTTCACGAATTATAAACGATTCTCGAATAGTCTGTCGCTAGAATGAGAGAGAACAAAAATGTGCAAATGCGCGATGCATTTTGAAGAGACGCATTTTTTCGCTTTATACTTATTTTCTTATAAGTTCTTTTTTTTTCTTATAAATGATCTATGGAAACAAATTATAATATAATTATATGCCATGAAGTGTGTATATATTATTAAGAGCTCCATCTTTTCTTTATACATTATATATAAGTTTGTCGGAAATATGTTTTATGTAGATTAATCCCCTATCCTTTTCCTCCGTAGATCTGCAAGATGAGATTGTAAAAAATCGCGTTAAGTCTTAATTCGATCAAAGTATTCGAAGCATTCAAACTTTTTTACATTTGTAACAATTTAAGGATCATTTATAGGCTGTTTAAGATTGTAAAAAATATCTTAAAATATTTTTTTTAGAAAATGTACACGATTATATATTATCTGTTTGTATATATGATCTTGTAATATTCTTTTAAAGTTACAAGAGTATGAACAGTTGCACAGTATGATTTTTTTTGAAAAGTACTTGGAAGTCTTGAAATATGAAAATAAATTTGATTTAAATAGATACGTGCCATGAATTATCATTCTAAATATTTTATATTATTTTTATGTAATGTGTCTCTTTAATGTGCCTGGAAATTTTTGTACAACTTTTAAAGTGGAATTATTGCATTGAATTATTTGTAGCAATCTTTATAAAGTATTATAAAGATAGTGCACTTGCATGTCAATATATTTAAACATCTCATTTTAATCATTGGTTTTCTTTCCATTCATATTTAATCATTGGAAAAATCATGTGCCAATTTGGATGAAATACGTCAAAACATTCACATTTGCATTTTCTCACACAAATTGCATGCAAATTAAAACCATGTTAATAATTTAACATTTATAAAATGTTTGTATATATTTTTTTTTGTACATCTTCCAGACTAAAAAGGAAATATATTTGAAAAAAAAAATTAAAGGAAAGTAGAAAAGATATGCAATTATGGAATGGAGCATCAGGATTTTTTAAATACTCTTGAATCATGATATTGTTTTGCTCCATTTAAACTAGATATTTCCGAGAATGAAACACACTTATATGATGTCTTACATCGTCCTGAGGATCCACAGGTACGTCGAGAGACAGCAGATGCCTGACCAGGTCATCGTGGCCGCCCAGAGCTGCCCAGTGAATTAACATGCGACAATTCTATACAAGGAAACATAAATATAACCTTAAATACGTCACGTGTCACCTGGACAACCAGCTCGATGACCCGACAATAGGAGCTTGACAGTACGTACGCTGTCAGTTTGTGTCTTCAGCTTCTCGTTCTCGTTCAACAGGATCTTTACGGCTGCGGTTTTGCCACGATACGCCAGATCGTAGGCTGTGGGTTCTTGCTGCATCATCTTCGGATTATGACTGACAACCTCGAACGACAAACGCGTTTTGAATGTTTCAGATAGAAAAGGTGTCCAGAGTTTTATGTCATTTCACTTATATTCACTTGTCATGCTTCTTCCTCGTTCTTCGTCGCACTGTTTGTATTTGCATATGACAAATGACAATAGATGGTTGGCAGCCCTGAGATTATAGATGCACTCTCCCTTTCTCTTGTTGCATTTGAAATAAGATGAATAGTGAAAAAAAAAAAAAAGAGAATATATATAAATGCATAAAAAAATATATATTGCAAATATTTTTTTTAATTATATAAATATGTATCTGAAAATTGTATACAATTTTATTTAAGAATCTTATTATATTATTTTATGTAATTTACATATAAGGAAAGACTTTGGCGAGGATAACAAGAAAAAAAAATATGTATCTGTGAAATATTTATTGTAAATAATCTTACAGTTAATATTCGAGGTAGCACGGACTATATAAAATGCAAACGAACAAGTAGTATTTAAATACACAGAACAGAACACCTTTAAATTAAAAAAATTATTATTTGAAATAAAATAATGTTATGAAGTTCAACACTCGTAACACAAATCAATGGAATTTTTTTCCACAAAAATCAGAGAATGAAAATACTTACGATTAAAAAATATCAAGTAATCATATCATTATTAATCAAAGTATAATCCCAAAATTAAGGGACTTCAAAATATCATTAAATTGAAAACGTATCATGAATATATATATATATATCACATTTCAGTGTTACATATTTTAATATTTGTATTTGAAATTCATTTTTAGCAAATATCGCACTTTCACTTGAGCAACGTCATATACGATGTACTCGTTGTATAATAAATCTGACTTTTTATTGTGAGTTGCAGATACTCCCATTCCATATGGCACTTCAACGCCGTCGAATTTAAAGACATCTTGAGGATCAGGGTGCGTTTGACCACGACCTACCGTGGAATGCTTACCTTTCGGTAACTTCTCGATGTAATCCGCTTTGTATCTCTCGTACATGTTGCCCAGAGCGACCTCGCACAGCAGCAATAAACCAGTTGGACTTTGGCTATGCGTGCAACAATAATTTGCAGATTTCGACACCATATCGGCGAAGTAGATACCTTTGCCAAACATGTAACCAGTGACTGGTGCTTCCGGTGGCGCGATACGCAAACCTTGCGATAATATTCCTGCAAAATTTGTAGTCCTGGATCCGTGCCAGAGCAATTTTCGATTGGGCAATTTCTTGAAGGGTTTGAATCTCTGTTCCTCTCCTTGTCTTTTGACGACAAACACTTCCTCGATCTCGAGCTTGTATTGTGTATGAGTGGCTGCATGAGTGTTTTGGACATATTTGTCGATCATCTTGAATTCTTCGCTCTTCTTATCCAGTACATCGATACTTGTCTTCAATTGTTTGTAATGACTATCGAGTGGATTCTGTTTCTCGTCGATCTTATCATGCAAAAGATTGTATGCGATCTCCATTTCGAGTAATGCATCCAGCATGTCACATTTGTTTTTAATCTCCTCCGGTGTATCAAGAATTTTCGGACCGGAAATGCCAAAATTATGAGGTATCAAGGTATAGAATCTGTTGGAAGCATCAATCAGGGTGGTATGGTCTATATTACTCTTTTTCAATATCTCTTGCAGTTCCGTTAAAACTGCGTAAGCTTTCTCAATCTGTTTTTTAGATAGCTTCCCAAGCGGCATTTTATCCATGTCTATTTCAAACTCTAACATAACTTTTTTCATTTCAGCTACGTCAAAAATCAGGCGCATAAGATCCTGAATTTGTTCTGGCAAATTACTCTTAATGTCCGAATCTAAAGAAGCAACCTTCTCATCTCCATGATCTATATCAATTGGATACATCAACTTTGGTTTCTTAACAAAGTGCTGTCTGTTCCTCCACTCATTACCAGTTTTTTCCATGTACAACGACTCAAATTGCTCTACACATTCTTCCACAGACATTTCTTCCAATTTGGTACCGCCAATCGTGGTACCGATTCGACCCCAACTTCTAAACAAATGATACCTTTCGTGTTTGTCATGTTTTAAAATTTGCAACTTGTAATAACTGTTCTTCTTTGACTGTATATCTGTCAGGCCTAATGTTGCAGTGTATTTATTCTTTCCTTTTTCATAGATGTGCGCACAGTTTTCCAAGCCACTATCAGGATCAACAGCTCCGCCGCCTTTTACCTTTACCTTCACTTTGCCAGAGCTCGATTTCTCAAATTTACTTTTACTTTTAGAGGCATTCGATTTTGCAATGACATTAGAAAGTCTAGCATTTATATCACCACCCCAACTAGAAATGGTTTTCTTCTTTAAAAGCATAATAGGAGCATCTGAATATTCTTTCGCTTCTTCTATGAAATCTTCTGTTATTACTTGAATATTGCATGCTTCAACATCTTCCATTCTTTTATTCATTTTATCTAGTTCGTTTTGATTTGAAATTACAGCAGCCAAATCTTCATGAATTTTTGTAGTAACAGTACCACCCAATAATAAAATTTCTTTCTTCAATTCTTCTTTATCCTTCTGTGTACGACCTAATATAACAAACTGCATGTTCTTCAAAGGACGAGGTTTACCTTGTATTTTCGGTCCATCTACTTCATCTTTAACAGAGCTTGATGATGATGGGGCTGTTATCTTAAACACTCGTTTCTTCACCTTGGACTTGTACGACCTAAGCAGATTAGAAGTATTGTAAATCATATTTGCATTTATTAATATTTCAATGGAAAAAAGTTTAAAATACTAAATATTTTTTATCTAAAATCTAATAAAACAAAGACATACTTGATTGGAAATCCTTTCTTTATATCACTAGGTATTTCGCATTTCTTTCTCTTTGGATCTTGCGTAACATATTCGCATTTGGTCCATTCTGTTATATTACCGGTACATTTATAACCCATACCAGAATTATATAAAAGCTGTCCTTTACATTTTGGGCAAGGTTCTAGAGCTCCAAAGTACAGTATATCAGATAAAAGATTTATTATCTGTAAATAAAATTTGATTTTATGTAAAACGAATAAAGCTGTGACACTAAGTCTTGACACTAAATCTTTTACAATATATAATTCAAATTTGTACAATATTTCTCGAATACATATCACAAAGTACTTACACCTGAGGTGCCTGTTGGAATTTCCTGATGATTTTTTTCCAATAATGCAACCAATTTATTTTTATCAAGACATGCTATTTGATCTCTTATAGCATACAGCTCATCATTTTGCTTTTTTATCAATTTAGCATCTTCTATATCTTCTGGTTCCTCTTTCATCTTTTTAGGTGGTGGCATTTCACCTTGTGTCATTTTTGGCAGCGCAGTCTTAAGATTGTTTCTATCTTCTTTTGAGAGTTCAGTAGCACCTGGAAGCTCATCTCCACCCCCATAATATCCCAAGTCTGCTCTCAGTTTTACAAAACATTCCACATGATGCCATCTGTCTAAGCCACCAAACCTTCTAGCTTCCGCGCTGTCATAATCCTTCTTTGATATTCTTGTTTCACCTTTTATAATCTTTTCTTCGCATCCTTTACAGGTAGATTTATTAGACTTGGCATATTCTACTCGGAAATCACCAGATCCACCAGCAGCTTTTGTTCTTTTTCTTCCTTTTCCAGACACTGGAGGTGCCTTAAGAGATTCTTCTATATATATAAAAAAAAAAAAAAATACAAGAAAGTTAAGATAACGATTCTCATAAAATATAATGTTACAGATTTTGCTCAAAATATATACCAATTTTTGTTTAATTTTTTCCTGATCATCATTGCGAATTTCATCAAAGCAACCTATGTCAGCGGTAGATTTTGGTCTTTGTTTTAAAAGAAACACTTGAAATGATACCACCTGGGTATGGTTCCATCATGAACAGGACTCTAAAAATGTAAACAATATTTCCACAATATTAGATTCGTTTTAGATATAAAAAATTCAAGTTTATTGTTTAAAACCAACTTGCAGCAATTAATGATTGAAATATTAATTGCACATTATTGTAGAGAAAAAGATAATCGTTAAACATGTTAAAAAGAAAATGTATTTTATATAGAGAAATAATTTTCATCATAATGTGTGGGTGAAATATTTTTATAAAAGTAAACAAATGAATTGTCGCTGCTATCGTCATGTAGACGATGTTGTTATCAGAATGACATCATAGACGTGTTATCATTATACAATATACAAGACCACCCAATGAAATCTAAATCTATACACATATTGCGCCTTTGTACGTGTCGCCACGTAATAGTTGAAGGCATAAAAATTCTCGCGGGACAACAGCGAGGTGACACGTTAGATGCCGCGTGCCTGTTCTTCCGCAATTTACGGGCATCTCTTGGACGAGAAGTTTCGATACCTGAACAATAGCCGCGAGTCTCAGGCTCTGTTTCGTAATAGGTTGGTGGCACGCTTGACACTTGGAGCGGTCGCTTTTCGCGTATTCCGCCTGATACGGCAAGTCGTCGCTCATCTTGCCGGTTATCCTTCGCCTTCGAAACGATGCTGTGAAACAATGACCGGATAATACGCAACGCAACGCGGTCACATTAGATCAGGTTTTACACAATAGCCGGTGTATTTGGCGGTCGTATAGTGGCGCCAAAATGGTTCACACTTCTCTCTCTTCCCGCGTCTACCAACCTTTGCGAATAAATTAAACTAGTTCGAACCACGTGAAATTCAATTGGCCTTTGTTCTTGAATCTGACAGCTCGAATAATATCGTAAACAGAAATCGACAACAAGGATGTGCCAATAAATTAGTAAAAAAAATGAGTACAATGCAATCTTCACTTCTGCAACAAAATTCTCGCAATAATTTTTTTATTTTGTATATTTAAAAAAAAGGTCGCAATTGTTTTATTCACGAATCATTGATAAAATAAGATTGTTAAAATGTAATTAATTAAATATATTTATGTATAATTATTTTTATGAAATTTTATATGTAATTTTATCAAATAATCTTTGACACATCTTTTATACCTTTCTAAGAATTAAGGACTCTAAAGCCTCTTTAGCTCAGTGGTAGAGCACTGGTCTCGTAAACCAGGGGTCGTGAGTTCAAACCTCACAGGAGGCAGCTAAGAATTTTTGCGTTCTCATATATTCTCATAATTTTTTTTTATTTAAAAAATTTATTAATAATACAAAAATCGAGAATCATTAATATGAATTATATTAATAATAAATGATCGTCTGAATCTGAACGTCAGATAGCCAGGAAAAAATTATAAAAGCCCAGTACTTAACATTTTTTCTAGGACTCATATTTTTCGAGTTATTCTGCTGTTCCGGTACTTTTATAACATTCTGTATAGATGTAAAAGAAAATTAATAATTGAAATTTTTAGCTAACATAAGGTTTGTATATGAATACCTGACTTAAGAATAAAAATGAAAGACTCTACATCTTTTGAGGCAATCAAAATTTGAAAATCGAGATTTATTGGAAATGAGTTTTTGGATCGAATTGAAGGTATTTTTTTTCTAATAAAAATCTCCAATATGTCAATATGTTTGTCCAAATTTTTGACTTCTTTAGAATTTTAACTTTTAAAATCTGGATTGTGAACCAGATGATAAATTGTCATACGGACTTCAGACATCGGAATGGAAATTCCTGAATCAGGATCATCGAGTTGGCGCCTGACATATTTCGCATGACAAATGCAATCTCCAGGGATTTTCCTCAAGGCCTGGCGACGCTTGACAAAGATAAAGCACCGGAAAGAATGATAAAAGCCAGCTATCGCTCGCGTACCAGCGGAAACTGTGTTCCCGCCCTCGGCTACAAAAACTATAGCCCCGAATAAAAGGATGAGTTTTAGCTCCATTCATGTACTCATCGCGCTTAATGGTGTATAAATTCGATTTTCGTGGAAATTTTAATTTTTTTCGATCATATCAACTATCACAATCGGTTGTAGAATTACAAAGAGATCTTACGTCATTTTATACATGTGCATGTGAGTCTCACGTCAAGATGAAGTGTCCTTCGATGATCTTATTGCTGTTCGTTTTTTTTGGCCAATGCATCGTTTGCTCTTGGCAGGTGCAGAGTAAGCAAAAATAATGCAAATAAAATAATATTATGCATAAAATGAGATTAAACGGGAGTAAAATAATTTGAAATGATAGAGCGACAGTGAGTGTAACGTGCCATTCTTCTATAACGTGATCTTCTGCTATAATAAAATTAACAATAAAATGTCATTTTAAAATAGATACACAAATAAATCTAAAAAAATGATTAATTTTATCACAGCAAAATACCGCAACTGCGGAGTTGATTATCGTGTTGGAGTGCATTATTGCGTATTTAAACTTGCGGTGCAGAATGAAAGGAGAATAATTAATTTAAAAATTAAATAATTAATGTGATTGATAAACAATTATACTAATTATGCTAATTTAATATTTAATTGTAATATCATTACATAATTACTCGATACATTTGCAGAGTTCAATATAATTATTCTAGTATATAATTAAACCAGTTTATCTTACTACGTTTTACATGATTTTACATGAATATAATTAATCTTGTTTAATTAATTCAGTGTTATTTTGATAAAGTGTGTTGTATAAATCAAATCAGATGAATCACATCATTAATCATAATCAATCAATAAATTAACAGTGTCATTATCCTTTCAGTTCGATGTTCCGTGATGCGACTGAATAATGGAAAAATTCGCGTTCGAGCTCGAGGTCGGATTGTAAGATTTAATTGTCTCGACGGATTCACTCTCGTAGGTAACAAGTATTCCACGTGCGTGCGAGGCCAGTGGGACACACCTACTCCCGTGTGCGTGAGTAAGTAAAGTCACGTGTGTGTGTTTGTGTGAAATAGATGAAATTGTTCGTCAAGATGTTCATTTTTCCTATCGTTATATATTTTTTTTAAATTAATTTAATTAGGAGAAATGCAGGAATAACTGATTCGTGTGACAAGAAATCTGGCAATTGATATTATAGCTTGAAGTGAAAGGAATGAATATACGAAACGGTATGAGATCGATAGATTTGATTTATTTCTTTACACCTGACAGATGCGGCATGCCAACGACCGCAACCATCGCCTCATTCACTTATGATGGAAAAATTGGACGGCGCGATATTGATGTTCTTCTGCGAACCTGGTTATACCCTGATCGGCAGTGCCGAGATATATTGTGATGGAGCCAAATGGAACGGAACTATTCCTTATTGTCGAGGTACTATAATAATTGCTATCGTTTTTTCCTTGCTTAAACTATATTTCTCTTATTCAATAATTTGCATAGAATATTCTGTCACCAAGAAAGTTGCAACACAACGTGCGAATATTTCGGCAGTAATTATTTTTATATGATGCTTAAATAATTTTTAAAACTTATTGAAAACTTGTTAAAAATTACTGAAAACTTTAATCAATGTAATCTCTCACAATTTGTACAATAGATAGTTAATTTATTTTTTTCATAATTAAGTATATTTTATTAGTGTTCTTTCTTTTTTTAATTCGATTTAAAATACGATGAGTATTATTTTTCTTTCAAAGTTATTTTTAATGTTAGTCACACTTGAAATCAGTTGTTCGCGTTAACGCAATATCTTGATGTTTCATTCATGATAAGACACGAAAGCGCTCGCACCCACGAAATGCGATTTCGAGAGCACAGATCTCTGTTGGTGGGAACAGGACCCGCAGCACGATTTTGATTGGAAACGTCACAATTTCGAAACACCAAGTTTGCACATCGGTACCGGTCCTACGCACGATCATACGCTGGGAGCCGGAAATGCTGGTGCGTATTATACGTACATGTATCTTTGTATGACTTTGGCGTTTCACAGAAACGTTAAATTGCATAAATAAATAGAAAAAAATATATATAATAAATATATATATATATATATATATATATATATATTAGGGTGGTCGTTATATAGGTTTTTTCAAAATTTTAATGTTAGATGGTCGTAAATCAGCTCTAAATGTAGAAAAAAAAATCTCTAATTTTTTCAGATTTTTATTTTGAGTCCTGAGTCTCCCTGTTGGCATGTAATTTTATTAATAATTTTATTAATACCACAGTTCTGCAGCTGCTTCTGTCATCAATTTTTGTTGTAAATAGTTTGAAATTTTAGTGAAAAAAAGTTGAAACTATTTGAAAATACCGAAAATATAGTATAAAATAATATAAAATAGTTAAATAATATAAATAGCGGAATAGCCCATATAATATTTATGTGACTATCTTTTATGAAAAATTAAATAATTTTGTTCACTACTTTTGCAGCTGACTCCATCTAGAACTAAAGTAAATTAAGTATTTTTTCAAATTATAAAAAATATAATAATATAAATAATATTTAAATAACATATAAATGAATAAATAAATGAACTGATATAAGAATATAACATAACACGTGTAAACAGGGAGACTCAAGGCTGAAAATAAAAATCTGAAAAAATTAGAGAATTATTTTTTCTACATTTGGAGCTGATTTATGACCATCCAACATGATGTTCAATTTAACGACCACCCTAATATATATATATATATCTGATATGATTTCAGGCCACTATCTTTATATTGAGGCATCCGGACGATTGGTGAACGATACGGCAAGAATTATATCTCCTCTTTACAATTCTTCATTGACTGAATCAGGCTGTTTCTCGTTCTGGTAAATATAATGAAATGTACAACAAAATATCGCTGTCCACAATTCTCGTATAATTTTTCCAGAGTTTGCTATTTCATTCTAAATGTTATTTTAAATATAAGTTAAATTTTTAAATTGGTAAATTTACGAAAATAAAGCAGAAAAGAATTTTAAACAGCTCATAAAATATTCTAAAGACTACATTTTTCTCTTGTAGTATTTTATTAAGGATTTTTGGTATATATTTTTGTGTTCGACAGGTATCATATGTACGGTGCGACAATTGGTTCATTGAATATTTATTTCAAACAAGAGGATTCTGCGCGTCAATTGATGTTCACCATAAGCAGAAATCAAGGGAATCAATGGTTTCATGGTATCTTCGACTTACCGAAAACTAATATCAGCTTTCAAGTATGCGTCATCGATATCTTTTTTTTAAATAACTTTTTATTATTTATTTAAATTTTTTATTAAAAATTTTTATTAAAAATAAAAATTAGACTTCTAATCAAAACATTTTTATTCATATAGTAATGCAGTATTATTATATTAAAATATAAGAAGTAAAATACGAGAAGTTAAATATAAAATATGAAAAATTATGAGAAACTAAGGTCTTGCAAAAATTTTTATTTTGAATGTTGTTTACAGATTATTATAGAAGGAGTGCGAGGTAGCAGTTACGTGAGCGATATCGCGATAGACGATATCGCTATTTTACAGGGAGATGAATGCATCGTTAAAAATGAGTCTACCAGCGTAACTGTAGGCAATGACGGTAAATTTATATTTTAAATCGATTAATTTTAAAATTAACAAGATACATCGATGTATCTTGTGATAAGATAATAATAAAAATCGTAAAACTTATAATAGGAAAATTTAAAAAATATATATTTTAGAAAGAAGTAGAAGATAATCTGTAAATTAAATTTTGAATACTCTCTTTAATCTTTTTTAAAATGAGAATTTTCATATATAATATTTGGAGATTATATCAACAATTACTTAAATGCTTCTGGAGTAAATTTCAATTATTTTGCAGCAAGAGAAAGGAATATATTAATTATAGGTATGTTAAATAAAGGAAAATACGTATCGCACGTCTCCAAAAGATCCGTATTTGTTTCAGATCAAATTGAAATAGTCAATGCGCAACAAACTTGTCGAGACAGATGCGTTTTCTCCTTGACAACCCCAGTTTCTTCCGTATCACTTAATAGCTCATTCGGGCCGGAAAATTGCCTCTGTACGGTCGATTGTGCGGAACGTTCTATATGTTGTCCGGATTACGTTGAATATTGCATCCTAGGTAACTAACACATCTTATTCTTAATAGACGTGATTTCGGAGTTGATCTCTGAGTTACTTGGCGTAATTAAAAATTCTGTTATTATCGCTTTAATTTTATAAAATAATTAATATCATATTTATTTTAAGACGCGTAAAATTTCTATGTATATATGGTTCTCGATTGTACAATTACAGGATATAGCACAGCTATGACAGTATCTGATGATACCAGATCGTTGAATAGTAACCCTACGATTTCACCAGTGAGAAATTCCACTTTGACAGGATTCTCTTTGAATCCGAAGGATAATATCGATCCAGGTATATCTAATTCGTCGACGTCGACGATTACGCGAAGACCCCTCGTGACCACGAAAACTACGGTCAAGGCTCAAACTAAGAATTTGCCACGGGCGACAACACCTGTTAAGCCAATGGGACAGACAGAAACGAAGGAGACGCCTTTCGAACCCAAGACAACTCTCACAACGAAATACATAGAGCCTCAGGATCGATTTGGTAAACGTTGTATATATAAAATAACAAATATTCTTTCTAATATTAAATCAATTAAACAAGACAAATATTTTTTTCTAATATTAAATTAATTAAACAAGACAAATTTTTTTCTAATATTAAATCAATTAAACAAGACAAATATTTTTTTCGAATCAATTAAATCAATTAAACAAGGTAAATATTTTTTTTATTATTAAATCAATTAAACAAGACAAATATTTTTTCGAATATTAAATTAATTAATTAAACAAGATGTACTGGAGTTCAATTTAATTGTTCAATTTACTATCTTAAAAAAGAACTTAAAATAAGACAAAATGTTGAGAAATATATAGACTCTTATTAGCTCTCTTCTTTAAAATTCAATTCTTCTTTTCTTGAAAAAAACCAATATAATATTATTAAGTGATAACTCCTGATTGTATATAAGAAAGCATTAAAAAAGAAAATGCAAATTTTTTAACACGCGATAAGCAATTCTTTCATAAATTAATTATTCCGAGAAAATCTTTTTAATTACTAAATATGCGTGTTAAACTACTATAATTAAATCTGAGTAATACTGAGTAATTCACTGTCGATGTTAAGCATTTGAAATTAAATAATGAATTTTCGTTACAAGAAATTATGCTGGATAAAATATTATTACTGACAACATGAAAAATTCGCAGATCTGCACGTAGAGGAAAATCCAGAAAAGAAAAAACACAGTGGAAGCATCGAAAAAGAGTTGATCATCACAAGCGGTGCGATTGTGATCGTCCTTTCCATAGTTCTCTCTATTACGGTAATCATCATTATTAGGAGAAGAAAAACATACAAAAGGGGAACGAGCAGTTCGGCACTTTCGGAGGACAGCGATGTTCGTTTCTTAACGTCAGACGAAATTCTCGATTTTAATGTAGCCCGACCCACGGATAACGACGAAATATAGCTTCACATTATCAAAATTTCTTCTTTAAGTGGCTGGATTGAAATTAAATTGATTCTCTCCGATTAAGTTTCTAATCGAGTGAACGAAAAGAATTTTGTGAGTAAAAGTAATCGTAGTCTGCATTTTAAATCTTCATTGATTGTCTAATTCTTTTTATTATTTTGGGCAATCTTCGCTCTTTGAAGAAACGAAACTTATGACAAAATCTTTTACTTTAATAAATATTAATAAATATTGTCTTACAAATCTCATTACATCATTAAAGAAGATTCTCCAGAAAAACTTATGGTACAATATTATACATTTACAATTTTAACTTGTTTAAATATAGAAAATAGAATTAACGTTTTAATAAGTATTGTTTAGTAAAAAATTGATATTCGATACGAATAATAAATTATTTTACAATATTCTACACTTTGGCACGAGAAAAATTGTACTTTAATTTCATTTTTATCCTATATCGTCAATATTAGGACTATAATTAAAAATATTGTCATTATTTATATATAAATTTTCTCTCTCTAATTAATTCGTTTTGTGTTACTATTACTATACTTGTAAAAAAACTGGCTTTTAATGTTGCAAGCGTAGGCATAATTTTGAGGAAACGCAGCGTGACCTAATATTTTGGTGATGAAAGTAGCACACACGAGAGATTAACTGGCACCGACATTACACAACTCTATACTATTGAAAGATCAACACGTATAGCTGGGATTGTCGAGCATGCCGATTGATTTCACTCTGGAAATACGTCATTGCCGAAATATGTATGCCGAGGCACGTAGTTTCAATAGTTCGGCCAGACAACCGGTTGCTCGATCGGCCAAACGTCAAAGCTGTCTAGACCTTAGATAAGTATTACGTATTATAGGTATCCCATGTACGGACCAAAGTGCATTTGTACAGACACACATATATGCATCTACGGGGACCTCAGTTGACAAATCTTTGAAAAGTTCGCCTCATTAAACAATATCCCTGCCATAAAAGGTCTCGCTAATATCGATCTAATGAAATATTCATGAAGCCACTTTGTAGTCGCGGCATTTTTGTGGTGAACCTTACAAGTTTGCGGATGTCGTGAAACGCCGCTTTCCTCTCCGGAGAGAGTACTGAAAAAGAATACAAAGCCGAAGTGTATATCGAATTTAGTACGTGCGTGGTCGATTTACTGCACGTCGCAGTTTCGGCGGCGTTTCACTGATGTATTATACATTGTGTATGCGCGCGAGTCTGTGTTGTGTAAGTTTTGTGTGATTCGGAAAAATATGATTTATTTTATAAACCGACTTATGCCAGTATATTAGGCGATAAGTTATTCAAGACATGTAGATGTTCGTGTCTCTACTTTCAAGTCTCCGCGCATTTTTTATCACTTTTTATAGCATTTCGTGTCTCTAATTACTATGTGATTTAAAAAATCTCGACATCTAGAGTCTTAATTATTAAGATTTCTTCTCAGTAAAATTCATTTGTAAAATATTTTTTTAATTTGTATATTTATTAAGTACAGATAATGGTTGCTTATTTTTCCTATTATATATTTGATTCCAAAAATTATTGAATATTTTTCTTATTGAAATGGAAATCAAATTAATCAAAGAAATTTTGTTCTCCAACATACGTTATCAGAAAATATTTTCTAGCTTTTGCAATTAATCTCCTTTTTTCGTATCAATGTTGAATTAAGACTGTACATCTGTCATCCTACGTATCTTTAGCATTTCGTGGCTCGAATTAATATATCTGATTTTACATATCTCGACATTTAAAGTTTTATTAAGATTTCTCCAAGTGAAGTTCATTTGTAAAATTTTTTTTAAATTCGTATTTATAAAATACAGATAATAGTTGCTAATTTTTCCTATTAATATTTGATTTCAAAAATGATTGAATATTTTTTTTTTATTGAAATAGAAATGAAATTAATCAAAGAAATTTTGTTCTCCAACATACGTTATTAGGAAACGTTTTCTAGCTTCTGCAATTAATCTCTTTTTTTTGTATCGATGTTAAATTAAGACTGTACATCTGACCTACTGACGCAAACGAAATTACATCTGTGTAGTAAACAACATTTGTCTCGCGAAACGCAATTTTAAAGATGACAAAAGGGTTGAACTCTGTCGCGACAAGCTGTCTATAGCCTTGGAAGCGTCTCTTATTAAGAAGTCGGGCCGAACTTCCATTTCCATGCTAATCTCCTCGCACAAATGGCCTGTCAGTTTTCAAAGAGAGAGAGAGACTCGTACGTGAAAGAACGTCTTCTATGGCGAATCGCGGTGTCTCCCTTGTGTTATGGGCGTTGAAAAAATATTGGAAATACGTCGGTCGCACTTCGACGACCTTCGTGTCTTGGTGAAATTTCGCGCCTGCTTCACATTTGCTTGCGAAAGCTCCAAACACTTTCCACATCGATTACCGAATTATTGTCGCGTGTCGTCTGATCTGTTTAGCAGTTAATTTAGGCTTTAGAATTCTAGGCAAAGAATTGCTTTTCTAAAATTAGAATTTATATTTTTTGGTAAATAGATAATTCTAATTATACTTTTTCTCAATTAGCTTCACATCTGGGTTATTACCTCGGTTATGACAGGGTGTTCAATATCTTCTTCAGCTAGAAACTGTGACGCACATTTTTATTTCTGATGAAAATATTAATAAAATCTTATTGTGTAAAATATAATATAAATGATTTATAATATGATATTTTATAAATATTAATTGTAATTTAATATCTTTATTTTACTATTATTATTATTATATACTATATATTATAATTTAAGGTTAATATTATTATATTATATTATGTTATGTGTATATTATATTTCATAATCATATTATTAAAGTCTTAATAAAATAATATAACTTTTTAGAATATTTTTTACAAAAAAATTAAGAAATTTATTCTTTTTTATTTTTAGTATAAGAACTTTTACACCCTTATATTACATATGGTTGACATTTATTTTAGATAAGTCATTAACGATTCTTTATTATTTATTATCGTATTTACAAAATGATATTCGCACAGGATTTGCTCTACAAGCTCCTTGAGATCAAATGCACCTGTGCGGATGATCCGGATGCATCCGTCGTGCATCATCAGATAATAATCGTAGCGGTGTATGCACGGATTGACAGAATGTCCCATTGTCATTCGCTGGTCGTCGATCGCATTTTGCGTGCGCATACGTCGCCGCGTGCGTGCCATCGACGATTACGTGTACAATGTCTGATCGGGCACGTAATGAGCTCGCGATGCGATTGCGTGCGGTCGGAGCACGTGTATATGAAGTCTCTATGAAAGGCGGGTCACGTGGCGTGCACCTCGCGCGGAGAAAGAGTGAAGAAAGAACTCTTGCTTGCGCAGTATCTCGCACTTTCTCCCGCGTATCCTTCTCTCTTCTTTCCTCCGACTTCGTCGCTCCACTTGTTGCAACCGACAATGGCCTGCATTATCCGCCTCTGTCACGTCGCGGGGTTGATAAATCGAAGCGACGTCAACGTCATGTTCCTATTACCTCCTTGCTTTCTTTCGCTTCCTTGTATTCGCACTTCGTATGGCTCTGCCAAGTTCTGTCTATTTAAATTAGGTGCAGAGATAAGATAGTTATCACAGTAATGAACTTACTTTTCCATTGCGTCCCCTTTTATAATCCCTGAATCTTCGTTCAAGAAATTTTCAACAAAATTGCAAATACATATCAGATGTGATGCTTTTGAGGAGAGAAATATTTATAATTTTGAAAATATTGAGACTTGAACTGGAAGATCTTGTTAATGTTGCAATAAAAATATAATGCATGTGTGTGTGTGTGTGTGTGTGTGTTATTATAATATAGAGATAAGATAATTATTACAGTAATGAACTTACTTTTCCATTGCATCCCCTTTCAATCCTGAATCTCAATCGAAGAAATTTTCAAAAAAATCGCAAACACATCAAATGTGTTTTGAGGCGAGAAATATTTATTAATTTGAAAATATTGAGACCTATGAACTGGAAGATCTTGTTAATGTTGCAATAAAAATATGTGTGTTATTATAATATAGAGATAAGATAATCATTACAGTAATGAACTTACTTTTCCATTGCATCCCCTTTCAATCCTGAATCTCAATCCAAGAAATTTTCAAAAAAATCGCAAACACATCAAATGTGTTTGGAGGAAAGAAATATTTATAATTTTGAAAATACTAAGACCTATAAACTGGAAGATCTTAATGTTGTAATAAAAATATATAATGTGTGTATGTTATGTTAATGTATTATAATCAACCATTTAGCATGCAAAGTCAGGTACATTGATGGTCGACTTATGGTATCACAATTTCGTAATCGTGTACCTGTTCTTTCATTTCCTGATTGCAATTCATTCTTCGACAGAATAAAAATTATAAAATTAGCATAGGATTGTTTTTGCACGCTTCGATTGTATTTAAAGGAGAACTTTTTTTTTCTTGGAAAAATACGTAAATTGATATTAACTCATCTCTCCTGGTTTAGAGAATTCGCTTGAAAAGATTCGCGGGATTCCCACGAAATTTCCACATTCGGCGTCTCGTCGTGGACGTCGTGCAAGATCGAACTGTAATTTTGGCAGAGAGCCTGCTTTCTTATCGTGATGCATGCAACGACGCTTCCCGGGTGTCACAATAGGTTTAATCGTCCTAAACTCGATGTTAAGCCGTTCATTCTCGTATAATGCCTTAGTAGAAGGGAGACAAGGGAGGGAGAGGGTCGACTTCGGAATTGCGTTTGTAGCAACCGCAAATAGCGGCGCGCAGTAGGCAAGTCGGTATAAAATCGAACGATCCCTCGATCAAAAGTCATAGTATTCTGGTCTCTTCGCGGTGTATCATCACCATAATCGCTACCGTGGATTACCGCATTGAGGCGCAAGGTAAGTGTCGGAAATTATTATAATTTCTCTCTCGTTCTTAAACAGCTTCCCGGCGAAATGTTTAACATTGTTTGTTATTAAGTTTTGTGTGATTTTTTCGTGAAATTATATTTGAAGAAGAACGTGTTATAAATTGTTAAAAAGGCATCCTTCAAATTAACTCAACTTCTATTTTCTAAACGTCTCTTGGACTTTTGCGTCACTTGCAACGCTGTTCAGTGAATAAAAAATTTTTATATTGTTGCAATTTTTTTCTAGGTATTTGTTTTGCATGGAAAAATTGGAGATACATGTAGATGTAATAGTAATAGAAAGTATATATTTATTTTGCATGATGTATTTTCAGATGCATTGCACTATTGCCATCGTCGCTGTTGGCTGTTTTCTTGTATTTAGAGCAGCGGCAGAAGAGATCGTTCAACAGAATCAACAATCGCTGGACCTCCAAAATGTCGCTGTCGAAGATCAGATCGATGACGGTATGATACATCCCAGAGAAAAAAGAACGTTGTTTTTAAAGAAGAAGCTGCTCGGGGCTGGTCTTGTTGGTTTTGGTCTTGGCGTTGCGAAAGGGTAATATCTTTTTTCATTCTTTTGAATCGATATATTGTAATTCACTTTTTTTATCTATTTTTTATTTTTATTACTTGCTTTTATATGACCAAGTATAATTAATAGAGATTTCAAAATTAGCAAAAGGAGTGGCGCGACATGTCAATAGAATTATCATTTATATTGTTCTAGTCATGTGAAAAAAATACATATATATCCTATTATTTTTCGAACGCTAAAATTTATTTGTGTATAGAAATGTTTTAATTATTTTATTTTTTAATTATTAAAATTATTTCAATGATAAATTAATTAAATAAATCTTGTCTATATAGGGTTCTATAATCGGATATATTTTTAATTGTTTAAATTTCATTTTTTTAGTTATAAAGCCGGTTACTATAGCGCACCAGAAGTACATCACGTTTACGTTTCGCCTCCAGTAAAATATGTGGAATATGTTGAAAAACCCGTTTACATCGAGAGATTTGTTCCAAAACCTATTTATAAACCACATATTGAATATAATGCACCAGCCTGGTCGCAACCAGATCCTTCCTACGGGTAAGAGAAACCAGCTTGTCTTATGTTTTGCCTTAATTAAGAAGGCAATTAATTGTTTTATATATATTTTACTGAGAAGCTGGTATGTATTGTCTTCTCGCGAAGAATTATTGTTTGTTAATTTCTCAACATTTTTTTCAATTTTCTTTACAGTGGTTGGTAAATCTGGAGTACAGTTAACGATCTCATCTCTTTGTTTTACCTCGAGATTTTAGGAACAGCCAAAAATTGCACGTGCATCGTGTTGAGTCTCAGTCCGGTCATTTAATTTTAAGTATAAGCATGTTATTTAGCAATAGTAATTAAAGAAACAGTTATTTTTGTTACCAATGTTATAAACTAATAAATCATGGTTTGTAAATATTCAAAAGCGTATTTATCATTAAACTTTATTTCTCTTATTTCCGTTGAAAAATTTCGTGAAATGTATTTTAAGAGAGAAATTTTTATTTTTAATTTAGAATTTTTCCTTTGACATATATATATAAATTGTACTTTTTAGTTTACAGAATTTGTTTGTAGACTAATTTATAATTAAAAAAAAAATTACAAATACTGATTAATAATAATATTAATTAAAAAATTATTACTATTAAAATATTAATTTATTTAAATAATTTATAAAATATTTAAATATTATCTATTATATATTGATCATATTTAAATTAATTCCTATTTAATATTCTCTGTTTCATGAAAATTCAATGCAGATTTTTTATTATTTTATTTTATATAAGTTATAAAATTACTACCGAGAGATTGCTATCATTTCAGAATAATAAATTACCAAGAAGGTTTACGTAAAAAGACAAGACTTTCACTGAACAATCGTATGGCCGTATGATTATCTTTATTGCCAAAGATGTTACCGAGTAACATTGAAATATTAATAACGAGTATATAATCGCACGATGCGTCTGAAATATACAAATATCCAACCCTCGCCATCAATTTCGCTATATATGCTATGCGTATATGTATTTAGATATCCTCTTTCGATAACATCTTTTAACATGTAACACACTCATACGTACAATTAAATTCTCTTCTATTCACAGTCAGATATAGATACAGTAATCAGTAGAAACAATAATCAGTAGTGTTGCGAATATATTGCCACTTTGAGTAAACGCTATACTCAAGAGGACCATGAATGATACTTGATTGTTTGAAAATCTATGTATTGTATATTGAAACGTATCTCAGAACATGCGAGAACGCACCATTTGTCTGTTGACAATTTCAATCATTTGTAAGAACTGCAATTTAATAAAGGGCTCTATCAATTAATTAAACAATCAATTGCTGATATTATAAGCTGTACTTATAGTATATAAAAAAATGTGCAGACAAATCGAGTGTTCATTTAAATCTTCATTTAATTATCTACAAAAAGGATTCTCATAATGGATATTCGCTACGCTACTGATAATAAAAATGACTTCTCGCAATAGATTGATTAACAGGCACCCTTGTGAGAAACGTATTAACCCTTTGCGCTTTTCCATTTTAAGCTCTTGCTTCGTTTGTTTTCTTTTTCGATAATTGCCATTTTTATTTTACTTTATTATAACTTATTAAATTGTAAATGAATAATTTTAATTGAATGAAATATGTATCAGGTAATGTTATAAAAACTCAGCCTCGAACGAGATATGATAATCGAGCTAGAGCACCTGCTCTTTGCTAATTAGATTCGTTAGTGAAATTAATCGAAGTGGATGGAAGTGAGTCTTTAAATTAAGATCTTATTCATTTCTCTTTTAATCTTTCATTCATTTGACATCTCTGTTTAACTTTCTTATCACGTTTCGTGTGATTTGGACTTATATATAATATATATTACAAACGTATATATTACTTATATATATATTATTATAAACCATGATACGTTATTGCATTTTTAATACCATTTAAAAAGCGTAAAAGAAGAAAAAATTGCGGAAAAGGACATCGGGGAAAATATGAACGAAACTTGCAGACTTGCAAAAAAAAAGTCAATCAAATATTTCCGAAAAGTTTTCGTACAGTCGCTCGCTCGTGATTCCAGGATGCCTGTCACGTGGAATCGCTTAGAGAAGGCTACTTATATTTTATATCGCTAACATTAGCGTGGCTACGTGGCTACAGGAATTACATTGAGGTACGTATATCCGTCGAGTACGTTGGCCCGATCTCGCCGCGTATATATATTATTGTTTTTTTTAAATATACTTTTCACACGGATTTTCTCTTTACTCGCGAGAACGTCGTACAGAGTTCGTCGTTCTCTCGCGAGTGACAGCCATCGAAATTTATCGTTACAATTATTGTTACAGTTAAAAAATGCGATTATATCCCTTAACGATTGTCGTCCGGATTAGCACCGACCGCGTCGAGAGGCTGTGACTTAGGAAAGGTCGAATAATTCATCTACTACGCGTTTCAATAGGAGAGCTCGAGAGAGAAAAACTAATCAGAGTTTTCGACGAGCACGTTTGATTCGAGACTCATGTAATTGTGAATAAAAACGAAGGGGGAATTCTTTCCCGCTAAAGGAGTTCGTTTTTGATTCGGGAATGTGGTTTGTTATTATCGACAACACACTTTATAATTACTTATTTATCGCCTCGATAAATAATAATACGCATTCGTGAACATTTCTGAGGAATATACAACGTCTGTTTTCGTTTTTTTTCCTCGCACATGCTTATTGTACATTGGATACAGCCAAAAGTATTCATTATCATTAACAAGATGGCACATCGTATACGTATTGGATCGTCGTGAGTGCAGAATTAATTAAAATTGCCGTGTCAAACAAGATGTTGACATAATGATGTTGATATAATGTTATAGGTGAATCTTAAGTTAGGAAAGCAAGCAAACTGACAATCTCGAAAAATTTATTGTGAAAATTTAAGATGAGACTACTAAACTGTAATATTAAAAGATTTAATTAAGATTACTAAAGTTAAAACAAAGTATAAATAAAACTGACTAAAAATAAATGTATCGACTTCGGGAAAGAAATTGAAAAAAGACGGATAAAATGAGTGACACGGCATATTTAAAGCAGAACATTCGAAATATAATTCAATGTATTATTCCGTTTCGCCTGATTTTCGAATTCTATTTGAATCAGATCGATCATTCGAATATTCGGATTTATTCGAGAGAATTTGAATACAGTATTTTTTTTACAATTCCCTTTTTAGAAACTAGTTAGCAGGCTAATCCGCGTTTTAGTGCGATTGTTGAAAATGATACCACAAATAGATGAGAGATTAGCGCAATAGAGATTGTCGTCCGCGATAAGAGGGTGTCTCTCCTATCATTGTTGTCAGTTGGCTGAGGATCGTATTCATCGTCGTCGGACTCGTTAATTTTCTTATTCGTTTATTTTTGTTTAATCTAGCACGATGATTTTTACACTTTTAACGGTGTTAAATTTACCGTAATGAAGTGTAGTATAAATACTCTGCAGAAGATTAAAAAAATTTAGAATATATTTAAATAGAATGATTGTACAGAATAGGAATATCCGCTATAATTACGTATTGTCAAATATTGTAGAAGAGAAGCGAGGATTTAACGTATCGTTAATGTATTTTAATTTAATTTTATGCATAAATTTTTATTTACATTTTAATTAAATTTTTATTAAGATGTATCTTTCATAGTATAAAAAGTGAGAATTTTGTTCTGATTTATATACTCGTAAATATCTATAATAATATTAAAAAACTAGTTTTACATTACACGCGAAAATCGACACAACATGTCTCGATAAGTATTAAAAATAAGAAGCAATAATAAATATCTCGTTTTATACATATAAGTCGAACAGTTCAATGTCGAATTAATTTTTTTCTACAATTAAACTTTTATATTAAAAAAAGAGATCGAACGCGTTCGCGTAAATAGATAATAGATTTTTCTCGAACACAAATGTAATTTATCTCACGATCTCTCTATCACTTTATAAAAATAACTTTATTTTGAATGTGTTTCGCGCGATAGCAAAAGAGCGATCTCGCTTTCAATTCGAGTCTCACTAAACGATCACTAAGTTTTATCGAATAGTTATCGCTCCCATCTCGACGATCAAATACGTCCCTCAGCCACGATACTTTGGAAAAGCCGATCAAAGCATCATCTATCATGGTCACTTGGCGATCTCCAGATGTTTATGTCGTACTCTGTCATCTGTGTATTCGACGTGACGTTACAAACATGATTTTACTGTCATAAAGCGGGAACTCGAGTCACTCTCGCTCGAGATGTATTATATAAGAGAATTCTTTTCAAAACCGGTCCATCATTTCTTGTGTCATTCGTGACACGGCAGAAGATTGATTTTCGTTCATCGACCATAAGAAATTTGCTAAAGCGACGAATTAAAAAAACCAGTCGAATAACTTTGTCTCTTATCGCAATCCTTTCGATTCAGTTCACTAGAGATACTTTAATTAAATTGATTGCCTGAACCGTAAGCTCAATATTTCTTTTTCTTTCTCTTGCTTTTTCTCTCTTTCTTTTTTACAGAATATTTTAAAACCAACATCATTATCACAAACCATGAATAGTAATTTGTTTCAATTCTTAATGCATTAATCGTTTTTAAATTATAAATAAACGATAGAAATGAAAAACCTCATATTGTGTTTTACGAAATTTTAAACTAACTTTATTTTAACAGAATTTTGATATGAGATTTGATTACAAGAATAACCGATGTCAAATGTCAAAAAGCAAAATTACTCATACAATTTCCATTTAATTCAATTTGACGATAAAAAAATAGAATCAAATTTTTGTTCCAGAACATTTAATCGAATAAATATATAGCAACAATTTTATAGATTTAAAAAAATATATTTTAGTTTCTAAAAAATGCTATCTTCCTGAAATAAAATAAAAAAATATATATATGCTCTGTGAAAATATAATCGCGCTTTATCTGCTTGTGTCTATCTTATTCACTGGTGGATAGATAAAGTCTTTACTACATTTGTGTGTGGCTAAAGGTGTTTATCCACTTTTCGCGCGCAGAGCGCCCACATGTTTTAAGAAGAAGCAGCTTTATGTCGATCTATTTTCTATCACAAGACCTGCATGCAATAGAAGATCGAATATCTTTTCGGCCATCACGAAATCATTAGGCCAAAAATAACAACAATATAGTCATATTTATATTTACGTACCTGTTGATGAAGTACTTCTCGGTTGCTCTAATCGCAAAATGATAGCTAATTATTCTCTATATGTAACTTTTTCCGATTGATTTCATTGATAGATTAATCGGAAAAAGAGAGAAAATGATTTAATCGTGGATTTTATAACCGAAATCTTATTTTATATATAGACAATAAATATATATGAACAACGTCTAATGCGTTTCTTTTTACATCGGACAGGCAATAATATTTTTCTCGGGACATATTTTCACCAGGAAATTATATAGCAAGTGATAGATTAATTTAAGTATTCTTCGTTTTGTATCATCTTGCTCTATCTCGTCTTTGTGAAAGTCCCTGTTAAGTCTATAATTCTTTCAAGAGATACAAGTGTTTAAAGACAATTTTATTATATTAAAATTCCATTCATTAATATCGACTTCAGATTTTCGCTTCATATAGATACGTACATCTAGTGAAAGAGTTTACGATTATAGATAGTAGATAATTATGAGAACAACTTTTTTAATTCTTAGCAAGATAAAAAACGATTTTACGCGCGATATTATATTCTATACATATATTTTTTTCTCATTTTGTTTAATCTAATCGAATATAATTATGCGCGCAAAGTAAAGTTATATTACACTTTGATAATAAAATCTTAAAAATTGCAACGCATGTATAAAAATTATTTTTGCAATGCATGCATAAAAATATTAATTATGCATAAAAAATTAAATGTTTAAAGCTTCAACAAAAATGTGAGCAAGGAAATAGAATTTTCTACAAGAATCTTAATTAAAATACCTGTACACCTCCATTAGATTCGCGCGTTTCCACGCGTCCGCTACGCTACACGGCTCGTGCGCGATTAGTCAATGACCGTCAGTCTCGTAATCGCAATGTCTCGAACAAGAGCCAGTAGTCTCGTGCGAGACGCGCAGCGTGACGGACGGGTGATGTATTCCGTCAGTTGGCGGGGGACACCACTGTGCAGAGTCTGCGGTCGGTGGTGGGGATCAGTCTCTCACGAGACGAGCAGCGTGATGGACGTGTGGGACGCACGTGTCTAGTGGAAAGGATAGAAAGACAGAGATATATAAGTGAGGTGCTTTGTCGCGCTCGGTTCTTGGTCATGATGTTGGGTTTCGCCGTCAGATGGCGACACAGCTACGAAATGTTGCTGTCAGTGGTGGACTGATGGACATCAGTCTCGCGCGAACGCGCAACGCGATGAACGTATGAAGGAGTGCGAATTTAATGCAGATATTTTGATTGAAAGATTTTTATAGAAAATTCTATTTTCTTGTTCGCATTATTTGTTAAAGATTTTAATATTGAATTTTATGCATTACATAATTGATTAATATTTTTATGCATGCATTGCAATTTTTGAGATTTTATTATCGAAGAATAATATAACTTTGCTTCGCGTGCGTAATTATAGTTAGATTAAACAAAATGAGGAATATATATATATATATATATATATATATAAAGTGAAAAAATCTGAAGAATGAGAAATATCTTTTTAAACTTTCAACATTTTAATGTTACTAAAGAAATTGAGTTGAATTTCACAGCATAAACTTTATAGCCTGGAAATTCAATGGATCCTCTTTTCGATATCTAAATTTTTATATATTTCACGCCATTTATTAAATATATATTCGATATATATCTGAAATTATTCGTTTTAACTGTCTCTCTCTTTTTCTTTCGAATACTGATAATTTTAACAAGGAAATCGTAGATAATGTTATATGAAATGATAATCATTCATTAAAAGTGATTTGCTCGTGAGATGTTTAAATATTGACAGGTACAGACACATTGGAGGGAATTCGAAGAGCGGATATCGCCCTATGTAAACTTTTGCCCCAACGATTATTTATAAACGATTTACAACACGCCTAGAACCATTGAATCTCTAATCACGGATTACATTTCCCTGCCCGCGGGTATTATCAAACATCAATATAATGTACATTCAGATAAGAATATAAACGGAGCAGCAACGAGTCACGATATCAGCAATTATTCGCGTGTAATTATTACGTTTACGCGTTTTTAAAGCTACCGATTTTTACGTTTATTGCAATCGGATTTTCGAGCCGATTTTTTCTGAATGTAGGAATCAGTTTCATCAACGATGGATTAACTTTCAATCTTGGCTTACACAATACTGCGTTTTTTTCTAGAAATAAATCCATGATTATAACAAAAACTAGAATTGCAATTCTGAAGAAAGTGTCTTAAGAACAGACGAAAGTGTTGAGTTAGGATAAAAGTTAATTTACGTTGACGTGATCGGTTAATAAAGGCTCATAGACGCGTTTCGTTAATTACGACCATCTTTCTTAATTAATGCATACGCGTTTTTGCTGCTGAATCATTCGCTGCTCCAAACGCGACACGCGTGCGCCGTGTTCGATTTTGTGCTCGTAATAAATGCGGAGTATTTTTGTCCCGGTATTAAATTCGGTGATTCTCAGCGCAACGTCAGAGATTCGACGGAGAGGGAAACAGAAGCGGCGTGACGGTAATTCTGAAGGGCGGGTTTGGGAGTTGCCGGTGGCACTTCCTCGATTCGCTCCAAGTCGTTGGCCGCGCCCGCGCTATTTTGTTTATAGAGACGAGGAGTCGATCTCGGTGCTTGCGATTGTTCCGAGATTATTGACACCGATTCCTCCGGGCGGTCCAGGCTGAATTGCCTCCGGAGCATTCGGCAGGCGAGGCTTTTCCCTGGAATTGAAAGAAAAAAAAACCAATAGTGTAATTTAGTAGACGTATATAAAATTAATCGACGTCGAGGAATTCCATTTTCGAAACATCAATAAAGAAGAAAAATTCCTCTTTCGGGATCTTTCTAATAAAATATTTAACAATTTAAAAACATGTATTTATGAACTTTCGAAACACGTAGAAATTATTCACCCATGTACATACATATGTAAAAAGTAATCCCTACAAAATGATTAATCTTAAAATATTTAATTTTATACATATCATAATAAATATTGTTATTATAATTATTATTTATATAATTAGAAACGTATATATTTTTCATTTATAAATTTAAAATTTAATACGTTTATATCTGTCAAAGTAATTTTTTATAATTTAATTTTTAATTCCTTGCTCTTTCTAAAAAAAATTTAAAATTCAAAGTCCTTTCGTATAAAGGAATATTTAAATAAATATTATGGATGGAGCTCTTAATTTAATTGTAAGTTCTCAATTTATGTATAAATGTCGAAGACAATCCACACAACGTTCGTTAATCTGACTCTGGAATTGAATTTCGGAGCAATAAACTCCGGTTCTCCATAAATTGGACACTAACCACGTTCAAGTTTCTAGGCACGTACCGTGATGTTCGTTAGGCGACAGACACCTGTAATGATTGTACGGCGTGCTGAGATCGTTCTCCTCGATGCAGCCGAAGCGGCGATGCCTCGGCGGCGGTTGTCGATAGCTCACCGGGCCGGCGATTGACGTGAGCGAGCTGGTGGACGCGCCGAGAGTCGCCGCGGTCGACGCCGGCTCGGGGCCCGAAACCGTGGAGGACACTCCGAGGGAGGCCTGAGTGTCGCCGGACGTGCTCTTGCTCACGACCCCGCTGTGAACGGCCTCGGTCGTCTTCGCCGTATCCTGTTTGCCCTGCAGCACCTCGATGAAGTCGTTGCTGGTCCTGAGGGAGTAGCTCGGCAGCAATGTGCGCTCGTTGTGCACGGACACGGCGACCTTCCTCACGCCGGTGGCCTCCTCGAAGGAGGTGGTTCTGCTGACGCTGCCATTGGCAACTCCGTTGCTGTCCAAGGAGTCCTGATGATCGAGCTGGACCACTTCCGCGGGCTCGATCGACTCCTCCTGCGTTTCGTCCTGCGATGGTATCACCGGTAGTGGAGAACCCGGCGACTCGCATGACACTCCGCTCTGAGAGAGATCCCCGAGTAGACTTTCGTCCAGTCTTCGGAAAATTCGGAGAAGCATATATGCATTTTTTTGTTGCCTGAAGTAGTAGGCGTTTTGAGGGAGAAAAATAATCGTATGTCGCAAAATGTAAGATCTATAAATTTAAAATTCTATTTTTATTGTACGGATTCTCTTAAGGATCCGTATCATCCCCGAAAGAACTTATTGTTAGACATAAAAACCGATGTATATCGAAGTTTTATTTTACTTATATTACTATTTTCCGCCCCGGTTCGAACATTAATGTGAAAATTTTTGGGATAAGCATGACGTTTCGATGCAAACGGCATTTCGATGCCGGCGAACCAGCCAGATGTTCTAATGCGTGTTTATTCATGAGGCTCGTGACCTTTGTAAAACTGGCAGATGTAGGAAAGTTCTTCAAGTGATTATAGTCATAACGCGAAAGAACGATATTATTACGTTGATACCGGAAAAGGGAATAATTTTATTCGAGAGGAAGAAAAATAAATTCGAGTGAAAACGTGAAGAAAGAGCAACTTTAGAATAATTGGCATTTTAACAATAAACGTCGTTCTGGATGTTGATGGTTTCCGGAATGTTTATTCACGCGTTGTATTTGCATTCTCATTTTAGTTTACGTTGCGTTTCCGCAGCTGACTGATGAAACACAACTTTGTGTAATAAATTTCTTTTCATAACAATTTTTTAAAGTCACTAACACGTTTTGAGAAAAAAAAATTTCAAATTATATTAGACGAGACGTATTATAGAGATATGTTAGATGAAATTATGGAATATTGATATGACAGATAATGTATTCAAGTTTTTGTCGAAATAAATCTGACATCTACGGAAGATTTATCAAATGTAATATGATCGATTCAAACATCGAGTCATTTACATGCGAGTCTACTTACCCATGGTTCTCCCTGAGCGCAGCGGCAGAATAGCAACAGATAAAAGCATTAAATATCTGGAAAGCAAATGGTGCGGATAAAAATCGTAGAGATCGAAAATAACTGAACTGCCTTTTTCTCTTGCAAAAAATTCTGTATCACGTATACATTCTAACAAATTGTCGTAATATCTTTTATTACAGTACGAACTAATAATTAATTATATATATATTGCATCTGAAATGTTGCTATAAATCTATACATATATATATATTTGTAGCAGAACTTGAGATATAGGTACAACGCATATATCTTTCTTAGTAATTTGACTCTAATTGAATTTCCCTATTAAAGTCTATTCGGAATTAATTACACGGAACAAAGTTACAGCATTCGCTGTCCGCGTGAACTGTTCAATTTCCCGTAACTGACTTCGAGGTAGCTATTTTTCTTAGATTTGACTCCGCCATCTGCGGCCGAAGGGTGGTTGCGCGTCAGATCGGAAATAGCCTGCATAATATAAAGACGCAAACTTTAAGATTATCATACTTTTTCCTGCCTATATACGCACGCCATCAAGTAGGTCACTTTTTGCCGGGGGTATTATAAGAGAATAGCTCGTGCGAGAGAAAACTTGGACGTTATATCACTTTCTCGAGTACGTCGTACAATTATACGTACAGGGGCGACAAGGGAAGGGAGAGAGAAAGGGGTTGGATAAAAGACGGGAGAGATTGTTGGAATAAACTTAACGCAAACAAGTTGGAGGCCGTGCAATCGTTACATAATTAAAAACTCCCGAGCTCGTTCCTCGGCTCGTTTCTGACACTTAATCAAACGCGATACAACTTCCTTGATTAAAATCCGGACCCTCTTCTCTACGACCATTCCTAGGCTAAAGGGCGCTTGGGAGCTGCTAGCTGACGCGTCGTGTGACATTCCAAGCGAAAAGGAATATACCGGAGCGCGATCAATTGAGAAAAAAAAAAAAAGAAAAAAGGGGGTTGGAAGACCCTCGTCGCATAAATTGAACTTAATAATGTCGCCTGGATGCGCGCGAACATTAAATCACCGAAGCTCGCGAATGGAACGTCGCTGGGGAAAGGAGGTGGAAAGAGAGAATTTGGAAAATGTGCTCGAACCGGCAGCTTACCCGAGGGGCGGCGGTTTCGGTAGTTCCTTGTCGAAGCCCTGCTTGCCGAGCAGCCAGTAGGTCGGCATCTTGCCTTTGCCCTTGACGTCGGTGGGTCCGCGGTATTCGATGTGGTATCCGCCGACCTGCGTCAATCGATCCATCGTCGCCTGGCTCAGATGGATACGCCACGGCGCACCGGTCGACTCCATCCTCGAGGCGGTGTTCACCGTGTCGCCGAACAAGCAGTAACGCGGCATCGTTAAACCTACCACGCCGGCACAGCACGGGCCTGTGGAATGAGCGAGACGTGAATTCCTTTCGAATCAGACGCGTGAGAAGTGTGTTCTCATCCCGAATTCACGATAAGGAAACATGTACAATTACAGCGTATTCTAGATTTGAATTTCATCTCTTTAAACGGGATGTATTTGAAAAATGCGATAAATTTTAGGAGATGTAAGTCCTTGTCGATAATTAAGGCGGAAGGGGTTTTCTTATATTTCTTTCTAAGAAGTTGTACTTTTCTTAATAGGGAGAAAATGAAACGAAAATATTTATCAAGTTTCATTCAATTAATTTGTTTGACATTTGAGAGAAAAAATTCAAACTTAATTTTTATCTCCCTCTTTAGAAAAGAATAACTCAGAGAGAGAGAGAGATATAAGAGTTTATGTTTATATAAGAACCCTCCCTTAATTTTCGATAAAAAATCTACAATTTTTCGCACTTAATTAGATACGTTCTGTATATGTGTACATATACAATGTACGATGAAAAATTAACAGCGAAAAGCTCAATTATTTTATCGCTTGTTTTCGTTGCGAGATTTTCAAACCCAGCCGCACATGTAAACACAGCATTTGCGTAATTAAGGGATTAATTGATATGAGGATGCAGAATATGCATGTACATAGAAAGTCATGTAATTGGTAATTTATCTCCCTCCTAAAGTTATTATGTATATTATATACATATATATAATATCCAGAGACTATTTTATACAAAATATTCAGAGTATTCTAGAGAGACAGTTTGTACCATAATAAATATATATATATATATATATATACACTTGTGGTGCAAATTCTCTCTAGAATACTCTGGAGTCTCTTGACGATAACACGCTCTGAAAATAAACAAGATGGTGGAAATCGTAATGTTGTTAAAAATTTGTGTTGCGATATAGAAACATCCGTGACAGAATATTGGACGCGCTCAGAATAAAAGAAATAAACGAGATTACTAGATATAGTGTATTGTTAAAGACCCGATAACATTATTAAAGATCGCGATTTATGAAAAAGTAATGGATCGCGCAATTTAGCACAATTTTGATTTTTTTCAGACAAAATATAAATATACACATGCTACATTAAATATATTATATATAGATTTTTATTATATTAAATATTTTATGTAGATTATGAATAAATATTAAAAACGCGATGTTTTTTTAATGATTGCTTTCATAATAAATACCTACATACATTTTGTGCTCCATTTTTCAGAAGAAAAAAAATATTTAAAATAATTTCTTCTGAATTATCGTATTTTTTTGCGAGAAACAGCTTCAAGCTTTTTAGCTTCGATCGTGTGGAAATGATTTAAAAAATGTGTGAAAAGAGCTAACCCGTATGAAGGCCGATGCGTAGCCTGAGTGCCGTGTCCGGAAGATGTTTCAACTTGAATTTCCCACTTTGATGTAACAGGTCAAGCGCCATGGTAGCTACTTGGGTTGCATGATCGGGTATTCTCACAGGACAACCGCCTACGACCATGTAGGCGTCTCCGATAGTTTCCACCTATGTCATTCGAATATGCATTCTGTAATATCAGACTCGGGAATACATATTTTCTTTCTCTGACAAGAAACAGAGTCCTTGACGCATTATCCAGCGCATATATCGCTCGGATGCTTTCTATTAATATCGCATAAACTCACATTTATAAATACTAGCTATATAGTTGAGAAATGTTTCTAGTAAGATCAAGAAATTATTTATATTTCGAGAGATATATTGCGCAATGAGACGTGAGATGTAGAAAGAATAATCAATGATTTTATCTCGAAAAAGATTGAATTTATTACGCAAAAATATCTGATAAATAAGAGAAAGGTTAACGCTTTTTTGTAAAATTTACAACAACATAACATTTCTCTCTCAATACTTGGAAATATTTCATTTCTGTAAATATTCCTGACATTTGATTTCTTATTTAAAATCACGTATTTTTCCAAGAACGTCGAGTTAATTAATATAGAATGGACGTTCGCAGAATTTTTCCAATTAAATAAGCAAAGAATATTTATTTTAGATTGATATAGTTATGTAAATTAATTATATAAATTTAATTTTTTTAAATATATTATTCCTTTAAATAAAAAGTAATTAAATTAATTTCCAGGGAGAGGCATGATTAAATTTTTGTGGTTTCTTATTATTGGTCTTTATTAATTTTTAAAATTTAATTTTTCTATTATTTGGTTAGTTTCATTTTTTAATATTAAATATGCAAATAAACTCCAGTGGTTATTCGCAAGAAGAGCAAATGCTTCATTTTTAAAAATCCCTGCGGACACCCAGGATAGAATATCATATGATTTGTAATTTTTATCTCGCAAATATAAATTGCAGTTATTACCTTGTAGACCGTGTACGCGTTAATCGTGTCGTCGAAGCAGGTGTAGAGATCGTTGAGAAGATCAACCACCTGAAAAGGCGTTGAACATGCGGATATCGTTGTGAAACCGACAATATCTGAGAAATAAATGGTGACCTCGCTAAACTCTTCGGGGTCGACGGGCATGCCAAGCTTCAGCTTCTCGGCGACAGTGCTGAAAGTATCCAGCCAAGTTTGCCGATTTATTTTAAAGTTTCTTCGTATATTGATAGGTTTTTTTAAATTTTTAAATAGAACGAAGAGGCGAAGGATCAAAATCGCAATCAAGCAATATCAACTTTTAATCGAGCAAACTTTGATCGCATTACCTTCTCGCGAAATAACGCGATCTTATGTCTATTGTAAACTTTACCTAGGTAACATTCTATTCAACAATTGCTCGGTTTTCTTCTTCTCCATATCAAGCTGTTCCGTACGCTCGCGAATGAGTTCCTCCAGATTGTTTGAGTACTTCTCAAGCATTTGGAACATTGTGTCCACAAAGTTTACCTTTCTGGAAATAAAACGCGGTGTCTGGCGGCGGCACTTTCGATTGTCGTCAAGAGATATTGTCAAGTTGGATAAGATAAAGAGAAATCGCATTAGATTAAGATTAATATTGATAAGTTAAATAAGCAAAAAGTATTTGTATTAGATTGATAGTTATATAAATTAATTATGTAAATTTCATTTTTCAAAAATACATTATTTGTTTAAATAAAAAGTAATTATTAAATTCATTTGATTACATATTCAAGAGAGAAAAGGAGCAAAAAGTTTATTAATTTCAAAGATATATTTTACTTATTTAATTTATATATATATATATATATATATATATATATATTAAAAAGTAACTTGTCAATTCTAATTAAATCTATGAAAAATAGATATCCAACAGCGTATTATTTAACTTTCTAAGGGCTCAATGTGTCTCGAAAATTAAAGGGTACAGATGATTTTACCTCCCGTGATTCAGCTTCTTGAAGAGGTCGTGCACGTCGTCAAAGTCGGGCCTCATTTCGGCAGTTTCCGCCCAGCACTGGCGCATGATGTTTATAGCTTCCGGTGGCGCAGCACCCTTGCTGACCGACGGTCTGATGAGGGGTGGTGGCTTCATTACTTTCTCAATTATATCTGCGAGATATGCGAGAGACATACCTGACGTTTAATTCTCGAATATAATACTAGAACTGGGATTTTAATATCGGATTTTAATAATAATTGAATAAATATATGCAGATGCCAATAGATCGACGCAGATGCAAATTTACAAATACATACGAAATTTAAGTTGCAATTATAAAATCTGCCTCCCTATTTCTGTATAGCGATTTTATTCTGTGCTAACAATTTTATTAAGAAAATACGATATACGAAGAAACAGCTGATTATTTTGTTTTTATTTCTTATTACGATTCTTGTTTATTTATATTTAAATTGTCATTCGTGATTTTTGTGATTAGAAGTGATTAAAATGTAAACGCACAAAGATAAATATTCATCTTTTCTTGATAGATTTAATTATTTCGGATCTGCGATTAAAATTAGAGGAAAGGCGAAAGATGGATATCGCATATACACATTACCTTCCGGAGACAGGGCGAGCATACAAAATGGTTCACCGCGAACAACGACTTCCTGCATGATAATTCCGAAACTGTAAACATCCCCGGTCTGGGTGCCCTTTTTCCGCAGATTCGGATATCTAAGTAGTTCCGGCGCGGTCCATAATAGATCTACCCAACAATAAGTCAACAATTATTAACGAAATTAATGGCTGAGCGAAATTAAATGCTTGAGCGCTCGCTTATTTTAATCCCATTCTCATCTCCATTATAATCCTGTTTTCTAGAATAATAAGCACGCGAAATCCACGAGTTTCATTTTAAACATGTTTAATTAGCGAGACACACACACAGTCCAACTTTGTAATCAATAAGACTTTGTTAATAAATGTATTACAGAATTTCCGATGCGATTACATAACTTTTATTTGGTACCAAAGTGATTCTTTTTCCTATAATCTTATCTCATTATTTCTCTTGGTTTCATTGATTCTTTTTTTGTAAATAAATAAATACATTTTTCTGAGCAAGATATGAATATTGAAGTTCGACAAATATGAAACTTTGTGTGCAATCTGAAGAGTGATACCAAGAATTCATTATTTTCTTACAATATCATACAATATTTTTCAGAAAAATGTAAGAATGATTCTGCGATATCGTTCTTATTTATTCAAGTTTTAATTAAAAAATTTCATGTTGCAGAAAAGATCGCATCAAATACATCAAAGAAAAAAAAACTATAATGAGACAATGGTAGGAGATTGAAGCAAAGGAGACCTACCTCTAGCCGTTTTTACCGGCGGCACTATATTCTGCGCCTCGTAAAAAGCAGGTAGACCGTAATCGGTGACTTTTAAGACCCATCTTGCGTCGATCACGCAATTTCGCGACGTGAGATAGCCGTGAACGCGTATCGGTGTGCCATGAATGTATCTCATACCCTGAACAGAAATAATTGAGCTATCGTAGAATTATTAATAGTTGTAAAGTATCCTTAAAAAACTCAATTTTAACCAATAAATTATTTAATATTTAATAAATTCGTTGAAAGATTTGAAGCAAGAATTCTTAGACACCTTATAATAATTTTGACATCTCAAATCTTGAACACTAAAATCCAGCGTTTTATTTTGCTTTATACAATTTTGACACATTAATTAAAAGTAAAATAATATAAAATGTATATAGTATTAATATATTAAATAATGCATGTATATATATATATATATATATATATATATATATATATATACAATATATTCCTATATTAAAAATATTAAAAAAAATGTTGCTAGAATGAAAAAAATCTTTCCGATAACCCTTGTGCATCTCGTGTAACGCATAACGTGATCTTACTTACCCGCACAAGATCGGTGAGCAAGGATAATCTAAAGGACCAGTCGAGTTTAATCTCATCCTGAACGAGTACGTCCTCCAGGGAGCCCCTAGAGCAGTACTCCGACACTAGGCAGGGCCTCGTAGGTTCGTTAAGGCATCCAATCAGGGGATTGAGATTCTCGTGTCGCAGCCCGTGGATCTGCCCAAAAGTAGAAAGTGGAGAGAAACTCGATCACAGATCTAACTCAAAGGTATGAATAAAAGGATGTGCGCCTTTACCGTGACCAGCACGTCCATGGCCTTGCCCTTCAGTTCGAACGTACCTTGAAAGGGTAGCTCCTTCAATTGAACCAAGTCACCCTATCAGAAATCATAGGACGGATCATTAACTCGAGCATTGTATCCGATATTACATATCCGTTATTAGATCTTGTAATTTATCAAGACTTGTGTATATGATCAGAGACTTTGATACACGGAACTATATGTAGTATGATTGAGAGATCCGCGAGAAATTAATTCACTTAGGGCTAATATTGTAATGCATTTTAACGCTGTCTTATCAATCTTCATTATGCGGGTAAGGTTCTTATCGGTCGCCGTCATATTGCGGAACTTGCGACATTAATCAGCGTCGCCTATAAGAGACGCGGATGTCTGCGATGCGCGAAAATGAATATCGATGTGTGCCTGGGAATATATATATATATTCTTAGTTCCGTCGTGTCATAATACCGCGCGTCATGTCAAGCGGAAGATTCTCGGAAGTGATCAAGGGTGAAATTGTTTGCAAGGGCGAAGGTATATGATGTAGGACGTCGATAATGCCCTGAAAGCACGTATATGGGATATTCTCATATAAGCTTTCCTAAAGCAATGCACGATTTTCGTTTTACTTTTTTCTTTATAAACATGCGCTACTTACGTGCGGATCTATTCATGTATATTTCACTTTTTTATTATTTTAATTATTAGTTATTGTTATTGAATGTGAGAAATTGTTATTTTTTGTAAAATGTTTCAAAACAATTTAATATCCTCTTAAAACGAATTCTCTGATATGTAGAGCCAATAAAGCAATTTTTTTCTTAACAAAAAGTGTTGAAGTATTAATATCAAGTATTATTGTAATTTCCGAATTATAAGCGATTGAAAAAAAGGTTAAACTACACTCTTTAGTTACCTTTAAATGACTTTAATAAAATTTTAATTTAAAGCTTAGTTATACAAAGATATGTATATAGTGGAAAAGTAAAAAAAATGATGTAAAAAATTTTGACATTCCTCGATAGTTTGTTAAACAAAACGTTTTCAAATTGACCAGAAAATTTGCTATTGAAGAGATATTATATAATTTTAGGGGGTATGTGCATTTATATTAGAAACTGATCTTTTTGACGTTTTACATTTTATTGACGTTTTAATAATACGTCAATATTTATTAATATTTGATTGATTTTTTCATCATATAGGTATATACATATATAATAAAGAAATCAAATAGTAAAAAATATTGACGTACTATTAAAACGTCAATAAAAATATACGTAAAACGTCAAAAAAATCGATTTCTAATATCCTTAAAAAAATTTCAAAAAAAAAATCATCAATCTTTTTCGCCGCCAAAGTGGATTCCCTCTGTAACTCATTAACATGAAAACTCGATCAATGCAGATTGAAATGTGGAGCGAAGGTAACAAATAGAGAGACACAAGGACAGCTACTGACGAGGTGACGCAAAAAAACAAAAAAAAAAAAAAACGCGTATATCCAGAGTGCAATTATTGACTGGACTAGGTATACTCACGTTATACCTAGCACGTGGATCTTTGAAGAAGGTGTGACGCGGTATATTTCCGCCGCCGGCCTGCAAGTAAGGTCTCAGGGAATTGACGCTGCCTAGCTGGAGCAGATCCGGCTTTTCGACCTCCGGTCCACCGAATTCCTGCAGCTGCTGCAGCCAGCAGCACAGCATCGCTTCGATGCCCTCGTCTACCTGAGAGCACGCGCAAGTCGAATGTGATTGATCGATTTGTATCCAATGTTTTCACACCGGAAAGGATCAAGCCACCGAATTTGATCATCGATACAAAAGTCAACGTGAAAATGATTACGCTCGAAATGATGAAGATGGAATAAGAAAGAATATTTTTATACATTTTATAAAGTTTATCTATATTTGTTTTATATTTTTTGTAGCAATTTTAATCGTAAAATATATACGCAAGGAAGTTTTTTCTTAATGAGAGAAAAAAATTTGCTGTGAAAATGCGGCGCATTTCAATCATGAGAGATTCATATTTAAAGAGAAGATTCATATTACTCTTGAAATATGAAAATTACGATAAACGTATAAAAAATTGTTGACGTTTAACTGGTATAGAGTAATGATTAAAGTTCGTTTGCTGGCTCAATTAAGTGCAATGAACTGGTGTCACGGTGACATTTAGCGCTTTTATCGGATATTTTTTGCTATGTAAACCGATAATTTAGGAGCTTACACGTAGCGACCGGTCTCGCGTGAAATATACGGTCCATATCAGGATCGCAGCAACCCTTCTCGCATGAAACTGCGCCATATTAAGAAGAATTTTTCCCGCAAGAGGAAAAGTTCGTTCGTAGTTCGTGCTAATACGATTTCACGATCCCGACCTGATAACAACTGTGAAAAATTGCTTTCGTTTTGGATTAAGGTTTTGGTGTTTGTAATAAATAAGAAATAAACACTACGGACCTTTTATAACGTAAACTTGCTGTCGCATCAGCACAAGTTATCTGACAGTTTAGCGACAGATCTTAAGTCTTTCCACATCTCTCTCGAGATATTTCACGGAAGAACGATTAAAGGCATCGAATGAGAGAAAATCATGAAAAGGCGAGAAAGTCAAGTAAATTTACTAGTAATTTTACATGTGTATAGATTTAGCGACTTTAATCTTTTTAGCGATGTTAAAAGGATTAAAAACTCCCGTGTCGAAAGAAATTCCACTCACCGTTCTCGAATCTACTGGAGGCACTTGAGGAAAAACAAAGTCCGACGTCGTTAGGATGATTTTATATGGGCCCTTGGACATTCTTTTCTTAAGCAACCGTTTCCTAAACAAAGGTATTAACATATCTAATACATAGTTTTTAATTTTTATTTACATAAAAATTTGGATATTTTATGAATATTACTTGTATGTAATTCTGAACGCTTTAAAATGAATTAAAGTTTAATTTAAAATTCCTGTATTTTAATGCTAAAATTTATAGCTACATTATAATTAATTGAAGTATGCATTAAACTTTATTTAGCATGTTAAAGATATTTTCAATATTTAAAAATATTAATACCGCACTTTTTATTAAAAAATAAGAAAATATATATAATTTGCCTTTTCTCCTTTATATCATCCCTATTGAGTGTTACAAATAGTGCTAAATAATTTTAAATTATAATTAAAATATCAATTAATATCAGAAAGCGTTGTATGTATATATTTGTATCGCACACAGAAATAAGAGAAAAATGTCTACATGTATATATGCAACAATTGCGACAATGGAAGTAAAAAGGTTAATATATGATTACTTTCTGCGGTTTAACTGTGGATAAATAATATGATGTATAACGTATATAAAGTGATTGTGCTTACCGAACTATAATCCCGACGGCGATGGCGACAAAGGTGAACAGCAGCGACCCCAGAATAATAGCTACGATATGTGTGGTACGGAAAGACATGTCGGCCAAGCCATCTGTTAAATAATTAATGCACTGCATTAATCTTTACGGCATTATCGGACGATATTTTCGGACTCGAGGGAGCCGTTTATCGATTCCGATCGGCGGTGAAAGGTACGAAGGGAGAGAGCTTGTCTCCTTCGTACCTTTTTCCCTTTCCGCATTTATCCTGTTTTATTTTTGACAGTACCTTCTATGGCCGTATCGCCTTGTGTGTGTTAGATGGAATTTATTAATTAGTAAGTAAGTTCTTTAGCTGTTTCCACGAGCTGTACATACATAATATATATACCATATTAATTATTACGTTATTAATTATATGTAGTTACTTATAGGAATATCTTAATATGGACGACAAAAATTTCAACGCTTTTATAATTTACGTATTTTTCAAACACATTTTTCAAGAGCTATATTTTAGAAATAGACTATTTCTAAACATATATGTATGCAAATTTTTTTGGTTCTAATCTTGGGAATCTGTTTCAAATTTTTAACAGTTTTTAAAAATATTCTGTATGTAAGAACGTTAATAACTATTGTGTGAACTATTTTTATTGTGACAATGTGAATAAATAAAATTGAATAGAATAAATTGTGGTGAATCAAAAGTGGTGAAAAGTGTGATGAAAAATGTAACAAATACAAAAAAATTGCATTTTAAATTGTATTTCATAAAAAAATTGTGTAGATTTATTTATTCGTGCAACAATATTTTTATTTCATTTAAAGATTGTATTTTCAAAAAATATAATTTTACTTTTATAAAAGCAAATTGCTATAGCATAACATAAATAAGATGTTCCAATTTCTTTCATTAATATTCAAATTTCCATCCATGTAACTTTACTTTCATAATTATTAAGCTAATTTATTTTTCAAAGTTTATTTTATGATCCAAATTTTTTTGCATATACAAAATAAAACAAAAATATATTTCTGTTTTAATCTGTAAGACACTGAAATAATTAATCCAGAATTCTTATCTTTACGTTAGTATAATTAATAATTGACTTGTTATAAAATATGATTTTTTTAAATCAAATCTCATCTCCTTTACATTTTTGAAATTTATTTCTTCTAAAAAATGATAGCGGAATAACGTTAATTAGTAGCGCGCATATCTCTGAACATCTAATCGCAATTTCAAGAGAAACATTCGCACAATTTTCCAATACCCGTGCCGACTCATGCTGTTAATTGCGCGCTAAAGTTGTTGTAGAACTGACAAGAGTACAATGTTGTTTGTCGTCGATAAATTTCTCGCGGGCTCACCCGGGCAATCGGCGTCGTCATCGCAGGACAGCAAGTCTGGCGCCTCGATGATGTTGAGAAACGTCATCGGCGTCAGCTGTTGGACCGGTGGCCGCTGACCGTCGACCACCGCGAGAATCGGCTGCCAGCCGGCGTCGATACGCCAGTCCAGCAGGGCGTATGTGTACATTTTGCTGTTGTGGGCGTCGAGGCTGCTGTTGTCGCGCGTCAACACGATCAGCGATTCGTTCAATCGATCGAGCAACGACGGGGCCGCGTAATCCTGCGTACCGTTGAAGACCTTCTTCACGTCGTACCTGCGTGAAGAAACTCTCGGTTTGCCTGTGCAAAGACTTTTCCCCCGAGGCGACGCCTCTGTGTCGCCCCGAAGACGTTTTCCCGTGAGTTAATCACGGGGCGAATTATACGGATCGCCGCCCGCAATTAATCCGACCCGACGAGCATGATTTGTATTATAATTTCGAGAACGTCGAAGGTGGAACTTCGTAATTACGTGGCGTTGTTGCCTCGATTAAACGAGGGAGAAAGTCACCCGATTAAGGTCGACTTTGCTTAGTAGATTCCCTGATAATACGTGACATTCCACCCAAATGTTCATTGAACGCTTGTGTTCAATCATTTACAAGACTAGATCAAATTAATGTCTTGTGATGTTATTTTTCCAGATAATGCACAGATGTTTGATATTAGCAATACACGTGTTTTACACCATGGTTATAAATACCAGGATTATATATACTTCAAAGCTACGCGTCTAATCTTATTATAGACATTTATTCTTAAAGATGAAAGTCGGTGTTTACTGGCTACCGGCATGCTAACATTTTTTTGCGAATATTCCAAGGATCTTTAGAAATCTCTCTTAAAAGGATTTTCTACGCAGCATCAAGTTCTTGCTATTATAAATTTTCTAGTATTTATATCCTTCCTCATCGAGTACCACGAAGAAAATAAGCTGCAAAAATATTCTGAACTCTGAAGCAGCGGGTGATTAATTGCGTAATTTCGAACGTTAATTAATTCGTTAAATCGACTGTAAATTATTCATGATCCGTTATAATCTGTTTGCATTTAGGAATTTTCTTAACGACTTAATCGCTTATTGCCATTATTAATTACGATTTAAGATGCGTTAAATTGTTGACGTTAATTTGTTGATGACACTACAGAATCTTCACGATACATTCATGAATATTATCAGAATACATCACAGAAATTGTGATAGATAATTATAGGCAAACGTTTCTCGCGATTTAACTATATCATCTCACATCGCAAACAATTGCATCTATTTAAAGTACATTTAAATAAATAGAGACAGTTTCAATAATTCAAACAAAAACATTTTTTAGTCTCGAGTCTTTGTCGATGAAATTCTATGTCAAGTCCGAATACATATATATTATTAACCCTCAGTTACCACTTATTTTTGGCCACCTTATTTTACCACTCATGGTTAGAGTAACCCAGAGTCTTCTTTTGTTTATATTTCTGGATCTAATGAAGCTATTTTGAAGTAATTTTTTTTCAATCGATACGCCAGACATTAAAAAAAAAGCATATATTGGTACAAATGTCACCAGATTTCTACGAGATATTTGAGAAAAAATGAAAAGTGATTTTCTAAAATTTCGAAAAAATCATTTTTGATATGGGTTAACGTAACCCAGAGAGGTAATTGAGGGTTAAGAGCCGATTTTCCAACTTCTCGCCAAGTTTTACCTGATAGGAAGCATATTTTCGTCTCTTTTCAGATAAGTTCTAAAAAAGAGACAAAGATATGCTATACTTGTCGGGTAAAACTTATCAAGAGTTGGAACAACCGGCCCTAAATGTCTTTACTCGCAACATCGACCATTGTCTTTCGATCGTTAATAATGAATTATACCTCTGATCGAGCGGTGCGACCGCGAGTAGATTCTCCATCGTGTTGCTGCTGAAATTCGTCGGAGGGAAGAACCTCCTCGGGGCTTCCTGTAGCCTCCGCATTCTTCTCTCGTCGTTCTCCACAGTCGCGTTCGGGCCGGCGCGAGTTACATTCGAGGTAGAAAAATTGGAAGACTGAGTAATCGCGGACTGGGCCAAGGTCGTCGGATCGATGGGGAGCGAAGCGGACGGCGGGCTCTCGTCTCTCGGAAGAAAGAGGTCGATATCCTCCGTGTGGATCATCAGGATCACGGAGTTCTGGATGTGGGTTTGCCACGCGACGTTAAGCTCGATCAGAACGCGGCTTGTCATCTCGTCGAGCAGCGGCAGGCAAAGTACCGTAGCTGGAGAGAAGAAAGAATTTCATTTGCCTCCTTGGATAGCTGACGACGTAGAAAATGCGAGAATGAATAAACGATTAGATGCATACAGAATTTCTGGACGCACTTATATATATGGATACAATTATTGACAATTAATTAATCAAGTTAAAGGTTTTCGAAACAGTAAATCATTATAAATAATAACATATATTACATGGATATATAAAATTTTCATTATGTGATGATATTATTAATTATTTGTTATTACTTTAAATTTCTTCGCAGCTAAGTCTTCTTTTGAGAAGGTTCTTTACCTATTTAAAGGTACATTATTTAGAAATTATATCAAAGTAAGTGAGCTTTACGGCAGTTAGCTCTTGTTAATGAATAAAATTTAATTTATTAACGCAAGTTTGTTCTCCGTGCCTAGTCGAAAATCTCGACATTAAGGGATTAAATTGGCCTATAAACTACGTTATTGCAGATATTATAATCATGAGAATAACGAGTTTATTATTCATCTCTTTAATTGATCTAAAATTAAATTTTGAGAAGTGCTTTGTGTATATTACTCGACTTTCATCTAATGTTAAAAAAAGAAATTGAATCATGTCCAAGAAACAAATATCGATGGAAAAATTCTAGCTAAATATAGAATTTCATTTTTAGTTTTACGAGGAATCATGTATTTTCATCCCTATAACGCACGATATTCCTTGCTGTATTGTATGTGTGCTTGAACGAAGAGAAAAGGAAGGAAATAAGGAGTAGAGAAAGAGTAAAAAGGGGTAAATTACGGAAAATGATATATATTAGCTAACAATTACCGAGTGACCACAGTCAAGTGACCATTAAACTTATATAACCCTTATACAATCTTATAAGCTCTTTCGCAGGAACATTAAAGCCGCAGGGGAATTTAATTAAAATGTTATACGGAATATACCGGAGATGTAGAGCACACACTGTTACGAGATAATTAATATTGATTAACCGAAGATACAGGCACTTCCTCTTTTATGCTGCGTTATCGTAGCAGTTCTAAAACGAAACGCGAATTTCTGGCGCAACAATTAAGTCGGATCTTCGCAGACAGTCATTATCCTTGAGGCTTTAATACCTCACATATTTACATAAGCGATCCGGTGTGATTGATAAATAATTGCCTTCTGACAGGTCGCGGTTCTTACTTACCCTACTCGAGCGCAATACGGTCGCTCGAGGTTTATTCATCAGATTGAAATTAATTAAAGCGAGTTCTCTCTGATTACATCGCTTCTCATGCCGAGAGAGCGAGGTACACATTCGCTCGAGTGCCTGCAAGGAGCCAGGTCGCTCTATTACTCGACTCATTTGCATTCACAAGAGCATTCACTATACTGGACGCTGTAAATTGTGGCAAACCAAGTTGCGCCCTCGCTTTTTTCTGCGGGAGCAAGAAGATTTAACGATTTAAAATTTTAATTAATATACCAATAAGTCTCAATTCGCAAACCCCTAAGTGATTCGTATACAGGGTGTCCGGTAACTAACGGACCAACGATTACAAGTGGATTCTTTGGTCAATTTGGGAACGATTTTTCCTCAGCGAAAATGTCGAAAAAGGTCATCATTTTTTACAACTGTCTAATATTTGTCATTATGTATCTTTATAACTAAGCCTCAAATTAAAATTTTATTATAGTAAACTCTACCTGAAATTAACTGAAGAATGTAATTATGTTAGACTTTTAACTCCAAAACGTTTAGTTTTCAAAAAACCCATTTTTTTCAATCGCTTATAACTCGAAAATTATTAACTTCTCAACATTTTTGCTAAGGAAAAATCGTCTCCAAATTGGCCAGAGAATCCGCCCTTAATCATTGGTCCGTTAGTTACCGGACACCCTGTATAAGCGTTTTCCCCGCCTTGTTCCTACGTACATATTGCAAAGATGGTTGCAGGCAGGTTTTAAATGTGGCTGTTAAATCCGGGGGTTTATATGAGAGCGAGAGCCAGGGAGTCTTTACACGTACGAAAAGATTTAGGAAGACGTCGTTAATTTAAACCCTCTATAAACACGTACCCCGTGCGTAAGCGCAATCTCTCGGATTGCTCGTACTTTTGCCGAGAATTTTGCTCGCTCTCTCAATTCTCATATTCGTGGGAAGAATAAAAGATTTATAAACAGCGCAGTAAATAGATTTCCGTTGAAATCCAATTCTCAAAGCGTGTAAACAGCAATAAGCTCTTCTGTATTGCGATGTTACGCTCGACATCTTCTTTATTTGTTCCCGGGTATAAATATTAATTTTCAAGCTGATTAATTTACTCTTTTTCCTGTTTTTGATCGAGAGAGAGAGAGAGAGAAAGAGAAAGAGAACAGAGAATTATCCCGCACACGGGATTATTTTAATGACGGATTTCTTTGATGAGAAATCGATAATTTCGAATAATAATTTCTTTGCAATCTAAACTGACTGCTCTTTTATTTAAAAATTGAAAAACCATTGATACTTTAATCTATATTAGCGGAGAAAAGAATCGCTTTTCGGAGATTGATTGAATTAAAGTCAGATAACATCCCATGTGAGATTGCAATTCGAAACGAAAGAAACGTAATTAAAGAATTGAATCCCCTTTGATACACTCTTGAAAAGCAGATCGTCATCAAATACTGCGTCGCATCATGAAGCATTAGAACCGCACATAATTGTTCTCAATCACGAATTGCTGGCAAAAGAACAAAAGAGACTCTCCCAGGACACGAAAGCCATTTAATTTTAATTCAATTTGCTAGTTTCGGCAGTTTGGCTTTCGGATAGATACATTCGGCGAACGCAAGTGCCGGCTAATGCTTGCGAGTTTTCGCGTAATGGGATTAAATGCACGGTGCATGCCTTACCTCGTCGGGAGACGCTGTGCATGGACCTGAGTATCTTGCGGATCTGCTCGAGGGTGGCACGATGGGGTAGAATTAAGTGATACCGCAGGATCACGCCGATCCTTCGAAATGCGTTAATTACAGCGCGGTCCAGACTGGACCACGGCTCGCGATCTGTGGCAGGAAGATTCAATCTCGTTAATTCGACGCGTCATCGCACGACATTAATATTCAATATACGCGCGCGTTGTATTTTAATAGAGCGGGGAAATCGAGTTGCGCTTTCGCGGTTTATTATCGTCCTGACCCTTTATGCTTGCGTATCGTTCGCTCGTTTAACAGACTTTTTCATTCACCTCGATTTACCGCAGTCGGATACAATTGCGACCTCAGAGACCATATACGTTATTTTGTCCCGTAATATAGACGTTGAGATAAACAAGCTTTTTCTCTCGGCACGTACGTACGTTTGACAGAGAGTCGAACGGTAAAATACATAATTTTCTTTTTAAATAGCCAGTTAATTAAATGCTGGAAAATTTTAATCAACTGACATAAAGTTCCAACTTTTTATTGAAAGTATAGATTAAATTTGCGAATTTTTTAATGAGAATTTCTTTTTTCAAGAACGAGGGAGAAAAGAAGAAAGCAAGAAAAGAATTGTCGACACGTTTCACGTTTCAGAGCGAACGATACGTATATACTACAAATCAAGAATTTCTTATCTTAGTTCTTCAATTTCCATAAATTATATTCTCAAGAATAATAATTCAAAAGGTAATTTTTCTTCTAGAAAATAACGTACAGATTACTTTTTATTATTTTTCATAAAACTTTATTTTTTTTTAAATTTTAACTTTAAAGCAATTAAAATTGGTGAAAAAAATCTCTATTTCATTATTAATACAAATATTAAAAGTAATATGAAAAAGCACTTTATATTACACATAAGTCACTTTATATTACTTATATTTAAGTCTACGTTTTATTCGCTATCCGTTTAATAATACATTTATGCTAATTATGATTTGAAAATTTACCTATGCCAATAATGATCGCTGTCTTCCACTGCAAGTGCCGAAATATTTCCGCCACGGCATTAGCCATTGACGGTAATGACGGAGAAAGCCTAATGATTGACGATAGATTCTTCTCCTTTAAATCTCTCTGGAACATAAGTTATCAATATTCATGATTCTTTAATGAGACGCTTTATTTTTAGTCTATAGCGAATCTACTCGAAATCAATGCCACCTGAAGAAATAAAAGTCTTCTTTGCAAAGAAATACTATTTGTAAAAATTATCGGATTTTATTTTAATTTTTCTCTATCTTTTTTCTTTTATTTTTTTAAATCATGCTTCTTGATGAAATAAAATTTGAAATATTTTCTTTCTTCAATATTATTTTTTTATTTACTAACAGATATTGTTAATTTACTAAAAGATAGGAAAATTTACTCTGCTTTTATCTTTTAATTAAAAAAACTGCTCCTGAAAAGGTTAAATGTAACGGATAGGAATGGACGCTACGGAATTTAATTCCGTTTTCAACCAAGTCGAATCAACGAATATCTGAAAATATACGTCAGATACAGTGATACGAGGACGTAACTGTCGCTGTAGCAAACGCGTGAAAGATCTATGAGCAGATCAAGGCAAGCTTTTCGTAGAGTGACAATTTCGCCAGAAGGTACTTTATTGATAATGAAGTTCACGGCCGATTTCGGAGAGGAAATTTTTCCAAGTATTGTATATATATATATTGAGAGAGATATCCCCCGATAAAAACGCGATAGAATATAACGCGTCAGTTTGCTGTTTGAATTGAAAACGCTCGATAATTGCGTAACTTATACCAATTAGAAAACTGAATATAACGGAAAATTAACATTCAACGAATCCAACTCAAATTCGCTGCTCAAGAGTCGACAGTAAAATTGGCTCTTTCAGTAGAACCAATTGCACGCGCAGAGACCGAGGCGAAATTTACTGGCTTTCCCAATCTCGACCCGGATATTACGTTTCGCGTAATTATTTACGTGCACACAAATTTTCATTATTTGTACTTCCGCCCCCTCCCAGCGAAAAAAAGTGCAGCAGGGGCTGCCGAATAACGTCACACTATACTTTACGGCTTGCTACGTGGCCGCAATAAACGCGTTGCGAAATTTGCACATTTGATTTTTTCCCGTCCACATTCGCCATTTCTATTCGACACCGGAGCGTGAGATATTTATTCAACGATGCAAATAATAAATTTAGCGCCACCGGATCAAAGTACGACACCGATAATCTGGGAAAAATATCCATTCGGATTCTACAGACAAAACAATTTGCATTGATTTAAATTAATTTAATTTAATTCCTTTAGAAAATAAAAAATAACAAAATGTATAAATAATTATTATTCCGACATCAATTTTCTCTATTTTCTAGGTTATTAACAGTTTTATCACGAATAATGATCATCGAGATGTCTAGAAACGACTATTTGAAAAAATGAGGGATTCAAGTCAATAATTGTCAGACACACCTTTACAGAATGTCCGACATAAAATTTTGTAATTCTTTATTATTACAATTTTGCTCTTTTAAACACAGAAATTGCAATAAAATAGTCTTATTTTTTAACAAAATTCTGTATACGAAACAGTTTGCATTAATTTAATATCTCTGAAGTAAAATAAAACAGAATATATATACATATATCAATATAAATGTCATTCGGACATTGATTCTCTCTATCTTCTAAATTATTAACAGTTTTATCACAAATAATGATCGTTGAAATATCTAGAAACGGCTATTTTAATAAACTAGTGATCCAAGTCAATAATGGTCAGACGTACCTTTAGAGAATTTTTCATTATGGTCAAATAAAAAAATTTAGAAATCTTTATTATTACAATTTTGCTTTTTCAAATACAGAAATTGCAATTAAATAGTCTATTCAAATGTCAAATTTATCAGAATTGTGCATACAAAACAATTTGATCGATTTAATATCTCTGAAATAAAAAAAAAAGAAAAAAAAACAGAATGTACGTATACTAATAAATTTCATTGGAACATCAATTCTTTCTATTTTCTATATTATTAAGAGTTTCATCACAAATAACGATCATTAAAATATCTAGAAACGGATTATTTGGAAAAACTAGTGATTCAAGTCAATAATTGTCAGACGCGCCTTTAGAAAATTTTTCATTACTCCGATATAAAATTTTGTAAATATTTTTATTACAATTTTGCCTTTTTTAATATAAAAATTGCAATAAAATAATAGTACCTATTCAAGTTTTATAGAATTCTACATATAAAACAATTTGCATGGATATCTCTGAAATAAAAAAAAATATTAATAAACGTCATTCGAGCATTAATTAGTCTCTATTTTCTATGATTTAACAGTTTCATCATGAATAACAATCGTTGAAATATGTAGAAACGGCTTTGGAAGAAACTAGTGATCCAAGTCAATAATAGACGCGTCTTTAGACAATTTTTCATTACGCCAAAATAAAAAAATTTGGATATCTTTATTATTACAATTATGTTTTTTCAAACACAGAAATTATAATAAAATAGTCTGTTTAAATGTCAAATTTAACAGAATTCTGCATATGAAACAATTTGATCGATTTAATAACTCTGAAATAACAAAAAATAGAACAGAATATTCATACACTAATAAATGTCATTTGGACATCGATTCTCTCTATTTTCTAAATTTTTAACAATTTCATCACGAATAACTATCGTCAAAATGTCTTGAAACGATTATTTGGAAAATCTAGTAATTCAAGTCAATAATTGTCAGACGCGCCTTTAGACATAAAATTTTGTAAATATTTTTATTATAATTTTACCTTTTTAAAAACAGAAATTGTAATAATATAGTTTCATTTAAATGTCAAGTTTAACAGAATTTGGCATATAAAGCAATTTGCATCGATTTAATCTCTCCGAAATAAATTTAAAAAAAAATGCAATAGAACATGAATCAATAAATGCCATTCGAACATTAATTCTTTCTATTTTCTAAATTATTAACAGTTTCATCACGTATTATGATCGTTGAAATGTCTAGAAATAGCTTTTTTTGAATAAACTAGTGATCCAAGTCAATAATGGTCAGACGCATTTTTAGAGAATTTTTCATTACTCCAAAATAAAAAAAAATTATAAATTTTTATTATCACAATTTTGTTTTTTTCAAATACAGAAATTGCAATAAAATAGTCTATTTAAATGTCAAATTTAACAGAATTGTACATACGAAACAATTTGATCGATTTAGCATTTCTGAAGTAAAAAAAAGGAAAAAACAGAATGTACATACATTAATAAATGTCATTGGGACATCGATACTTTTTATTTTCTACATTATTAATAGTTTCATCACGAATAACGATTATTGAAATGTCTAGAAATGACTTTTTCTAAAAATTAGTGATTTAAGTCAATAATTGTCAGACGCGCCTTTAGAAAATTTTTTATTATACCGACATAAAATTTTGGAAATATTTTTATTACAATTTCGTCTCTTTTAATATAGAAATTGCAATAAAATAATTGTATTTAAGTGTCAAGTTCTATAGAATTCTGCGTACAAAACAATTTGCATGAATATAATATCTCTGAAGTAAAAAAAATATATTAATAAGTGTCATTCGGGCATTGATTCTCTCTATTTTCTAAATTATTGACAAGTTTCATCCTAAATAATTATCGTTGAAACATGTAAAAATTACTATTCGTAAGAAACTAGTGATCCAAGTCAATAAATGTCAGACGCGCCTTTAGAGAATTTTTTATTATTCCGTCATAATATTTTATAAATCTTTTTTATTACAATTTCGCTCTTTTAAACACAGAAATTGCAATGAAATAGTCTTATTCCAGTGTCGAGTTTAACAGAATTTTGCATGCGAAGCAATTTGCATCGATTTAATATCTCTGAAATAAATAAGAAAATAAGAAAGTAAAAACTAAATAAATAAGTGCCATTCGGACATCGCGATTTTTCTATTGTCTAAATTATTAACAAATTTCATCACGATTGATCATTATTGAAATATCTAGAAATAACTATTTGGATAAACTAGTGATCCAAGTCAATAATTATCAGACGCGCCTTTAGAGAATTTTTCATTACTTCGTCATAATATTTTATAAATCTTTTTTATTACAATTTCGCTGTTTTAAACACAGAAATTGCAATGAAATAGTCTTATTCAAGTGCCGAGTTTAACAGAATTTTGCATACGAATTAATCTCTCTGCAATTTGCATCAATTTAATCTCTCTGAAATAAATAAAAAAGAAAAATAGAACATGAATCAATAAATGCCATTCGGACATCGATTCGCCATTCGGAATTCTCTCTATTTTATAAATTATTAACAAATTTCATCACGAATAATAATCATTGAAATATCTAGAAATGACTATTTGAATAAATTAGTGATCCAAATTAATAATAGTCAGACGCGCCTTTAAGGAATTTTTTAATACTCCAAAATAAAATTTTAGAAACTTTTATTATTAACAATTTTGCTTTTTCAAACACAGAAATTGCAATACAGAAATAGCCTTAGTGAAATGTCAAGTTTCGCAGAATTTTTTGTTTCTCTAAATTACCGGAAGTGTACCTCAATCGCAAACTATCGTCGGTTCGACGCCTTCGATAATTGTACGAAGCACCGCTGTCACGACCACCGCCAGTAAACGTGATAACACTCACCAACGGACAGGTCCACGTGAGCAACGGTTTATTCCCGAGATGCGCGAGTTTAGCGGCCACTTCGCAGATCGAGCTGTCGAGCGCGGCTATTACCGCCTTCGTGTTGCTCTCACCAATAGCGTGGATCAGTGCACCAAGGCCCCCAGTTTCCGTCTCGCACGTCACTGGAAATTAATTAATCCCAACTATTAGTTCTTCGCAAACCTACGATCGGAGAATTCGCTCTCGTACTTTGAGAACTTGTTATCGCAATGCGCCGCAAGAGAAGAAAAGAAAAAAAGAAAAAAGTATAGCAAACGGGTGTGACGTAATATTGGTTGTATGACACAATTTTCAATGGGGATCCGCGGATTGCTTCTCGATTTTGATAAGCTCGCTATCTTCCTCCATTTCAAATAATATAACGAGGCAATTCTATCTTTTCTATCGCATTTTACTCGTTGCTATGGACACTTAACAACATCGAATTTGCTTTCTATTCTCGTCGTATTGAAGGGAAATTCTATTCAAACATACGCATGTATCTTTGTATATAAATGCATGTCGTTTATGTTTGCGCGATCGTCGGCAATTGTGTAAAATATAATGGTGTAGACAACACGGAGAGAGAGAGCTATTAAAGCGCCCTGGATATGAATCTCTCGTACTGATACCTGAGGTTGGAGCAAACCCGATCTACTTTCGTGATCGCGTGCTCTCGCGAAGGAAGCTCGGGTTCGCGGCAAGGACCATCCTCGAGTATCAGTTTTATGTCACTCGGATCGTATTATATGCCGGATGTGCGCATTGCCGACGATCAACCATCTTGCGTCCGCTATTTGAGCAAAGTTTCGTTATTTCCGCGAAACATGTATCAGTTGTTCGAGTCCTCTTCGCTGTCAAGCCCGGCACTTGACAGTCAAACGCATAGCAGGCCAGGTCTAGATTTGAATACGTAATTAGATTATTGGGTACCGTATGATTCATGCGCATGGTAAATTTAGAGCCGCTTGATACCGTGTTACGGAAACGCACGAATGATTATATTATGGTCGTCTATATGTATGTATTATGTGTGTGTGTGTGTATATATGTATGTATGTAGATTGTATATATATGTATATATATATATATATATGGTATATATATATATATATATATATATATATATATATACTGTATATATATGTGATGAATATATGTAACATCATATATATTCTGCGTGTGTACAAAGCGAATGCTACATTAAATACTAATATAGTATCTATCACATGCAGTGAACATACACAAGCGAGTGACTATAATTAATTAATTGCGCGAAAAATAACTGCTGCGTTACTGGTTTGATTAATTGACGTATTTGAGATTATAATCTGCACAATGTTGCTCTTATTATTAATTTCCGTTTGTAAAGCCTTCTTTATATCATTAAATGTCAAAATAATATTTATTAATTACTTATAACTTTTCAAGTATTATTTATATTAAATACGTTTAAATATTAGAAAATTATAACGTGAAAGGTGCTTCGACATCTTAATACATTTATACATATAAAAGAATACATATATATACCTTAATAAATGTTATTATGAATTATAGATCGTCTAAAGAAATCTTATATATATATAATGTATATTATGAATAAAATTTGTTAAAGTAATCTTCAATATATAATTTTCCAAATTATATATCGCGCACGATAAAAGCATGATGAAACTTTCATCCATAAAAGTTTTGTATCCGAGCAATTGGCCGTGTTCTCTCTGATATTTTCTTTGATATTTTTCGAACAGCAAGTCGTATCGGGAAATTCACTCGAGTAAGTAGCAACAATATGTATATACTCACGGGATCTCGGCATCACGCTGATCGAGAGCTCGCCGACCACGTCCGGCGCGGCTAAGTGATCCTGTATCTCGGTGACGTTGATCTCCCGGTCGCATCTCTCGCCCAGGAGGACCACCACGTCGCCGCCGCGAGCCACCTCTGTGGAATAGGTGGACGTGCACGAAATACGAGCGGCGTCGGCCGATGAAGGGGGAAAGCACCCGGATAGGATCGCGATCGGGAGCCACCACCGGAACTGGCGAAAACAATTCCCGGCCATGGGCCCTTGGACCCTGCCGATCACGACGTCACTGCCACCACGGACGGGAAAGACCACCCTGCCCTGTCGATTCGCTCCCTTTCACCTTCGACTGTCTCTCTGCGAAATACGTAAGCGACTTATCGATTTAACTGTTTGGTTCTCGATTCGATGACAGATGACAGAATGTTCTAAATAAATCACAAGAAGAAGATTCACTTTTTGCGTTTGCGATTTTTGTAGGAATAAGTTTGCTCAAGTAAGCTTATTTTATGTGACAGTTAAGACTGACGTATATTGTATATATAAAATTCAGATCAAACAATTAATTTTAATTAATTAAATTAAATTTTCTTCATAAAGATTATGACGTTCCTTTTCCATGTATTTTTGTTAATAAACATAATACACACACGATAACAGTGATCCTTAATTATGTTAATAAGTGATAAAAGTAAATAACAATTATAGAACAATAATAATAATTACTATTTTGTAATGGGATAATCAGCGGTGAATTTGCAATATAATATCCAATGCATTAATCTCGTGTTACTCCCCCTCATTCTCGTAATCAAGATCAGGTTCAAATACGTATATATAAGACTTCCTGTTGTACGCGAGAAAGTGTGCCGAGTTGATATTATTATTGCGAGCCAGGGAACGCGAGGAATTCTTTGTTTGCTGCAAAATACGTGATAAAACGCAAGCATGTTTTCCTTTCTTGTAATGCAGCGAAAAACATGCAGCCCCACAGCGTAATTAGCTCTTTGTCACGCTGAATCCATCAACACGGGGTGAAATTTCTCTAACGAGTCGTGAGCTTTTTCACGCGAATCTCTACAGAGGCTGCTTTCCCTTTCTACTCGCTTTCTACGGGAGCATGTGTTGTTGTCCGGGGATGATGTACGGATGTTCTAACGTGAAAAATTGCGAACAAAGTTATATGAACTTCCGCAACTCCGACGAGCAACAGGCAATCGGGGCATCTCATATTTATTAATGGACGAAATATTATTTTCTACGATGTAAATCTTTTGAAGGATTTTTATCAAAGTAAAAGGAGTAATGGGGAAGAAAATGAACATGTTTTAATTTTCTTCTCTCATCCACTTCAATTAGCTTAAACAAATTATTTTGTATTTTTTTTTACAATTAATTGTCTGCAGTTATAGACAATTGATTTCATAAATTCACAATATTAGAACTTTTGAAGACAGTTTCAGATTGATTACGGACGTCGCAGATAAAAATGTGACAATAAAATGCAAAATTTCTCTCTAATTACGTTTTATTTATTATATAATCAATTACGAAGGTTAAATGTCGTTTGATAAATGTTAAAATAATTATTTTATGCTGGTGCGTTAACCATTGCGCCCTCATATTGACGTGCAATATCGTTAACGTTGTCGCCGCAACGAAATTTATAGAGCGACTGAGGAAAAGCAGCGAAAAATGTTGTGGAAACTTCCAAAGCGAAAAATCACCGAAAAAGGGCGTTTTCCGTCGTCGTCGTCGTCATGATTTCCCGTGGCCCCCGGTCAATCCATCAGCTTTAAAACCTTTTCGGTGAAACGCGCGCAAGGATAAAAACAACAGAGAACTGCATCCTAGTTTTTTTCATCGAAAACACATTGGTTTTCGCGTCGTAAAAAACTATGCGCTAACTGCGTATACATTTTTTCCCCAACGTTACTGAGCGATCAAAAAGTACACGATACATATGTTTTTGCACCGTTGTTGTAATCGAAACAAATTCTGTTTGCAAAGCCACTCTTTTCAGAACAGGTTATAACTAGATAAAGGCTAATTGTGCTGTCCGCTACAAAGGCCGCACGTGAACTTCTGATATTTATTGGATCACTTCCATTTAATCGCGTGATTATATCGAGCATCATTACTTGGTTTGATTCCGCATCGGATTATATATCAATATGCGCGACCTATCGTCCCTTGAATAATGCCAGGTCCCCGTTGTGCTTCGCTAAAGTGCGATTCGACGTTTCGCATTTCTCACTTTGCCGATTAACCTTTCTGTTAATGCACATATTTTTCACCTTTTATCAATATATGGGTACTTGGGTACCAACTGCGTGTTTTTGCACTTTGATATTTTTTACAGTAGCTGCTGGGCATCGAATATTTTTTTCTATTATATTTTAGGTTTTCGAATATACAAAGGCCCTTTGTATTTTGTTTCGGAGAAACGCTGTGACATTTTTAAAGAGTTTTGGATATCCGGGATGTTAGTTTAAAAAGCGACAGGAAGAGTTGACAGAAGGATTAAAGCTATTGTTGTATAGTTGAATATCGCTCGTGACTTGTCTTCTTTGTACTTTTTTAGAAAAAGAGAACGTGAATTTGAAAAAAGGAGTCTTATTGAAGATTGACGATGCATTGATATCCAAATAACTTGTAGCAGATTATGTTTGAAAGTATCGATACGTTCAACTCAATAAATAATAATAGTAATTTAAAATACAATTTTATAAAATATATTACAAAATTTGATATTTTTTATTTGACACTTTTTATTTAATTAACTGGTTTATTGGGTAATATTATTATTAAAATAAAATTAAAGTGCGTTGATCCATTTTTCGAAATTAATTTTGAATCGTGAACAATATTAAACGCTATGCTATTACATGTTCTCTATAAACCTATATAATTATTGTAATATTCTCCTCTAAATAAGGACAACAAAAAGTTCTTGATAAATTCTTGAAGAAGAGATTTGATCGATATCTATAATAACTTTTTGCGCAAAATTTGTTTGTTGTATTAATACCTATCGGCAATGATTATTACTATCATTATACCATTTCGAGAAAAGTAAAGTGCACTTTATCCCATCGTGACGGAATATTAAATTGGTCCTCGGGCCGGATATCGATGGAGAATTCACGGAGATGGAACGTGCGATGACGGAAATAGACAGATAAATTTTTTCAATGGAAGGAACATTATTTTCTCTCGAAACTTCTGTTTCTAAAAAGAAATTGAGCCTCACGTACACGAGGCCCATTTGTGTTGTGAACCGCGTCTAAATCAAGGAGCTTCTATCTCCGGCTGCGTAAGATTGGTATATAGACGGTAAATCTGCTCTCAGCTTGTTTAAGAATTCCCCTAAGTACGTGTCACTCTTGCGCGGATGCAGAGAATAATTTATTTTCAACGTAATCCTCTCGTAGACTTGCGTGAACACGCAAAACACGTCCGAAAGCTTTTCATCTCTCTCGCGATCGAGATATTCCGGGCCGAGCCCCAACTCTCCACATATACACAATTGTTGCAGACAGCATCCGGGCGCGTTAGTCTCAATTTACGCCGACATTTACGATCGACTAGGAGCTTGTTACGCCGGGAAAATTGCCGTGATGTAATTACGGAACGTGTAACCCGGAGTTATTATCGCCTACACAGCACCTGATTGAAGACGATCGCTGGACCGATACTTGGGCTTTTCTCTCTCTTCTCGTTAGCGGGGGTATGAATGTCGGTATCGGTAATGACAAATTAATCAGAGAAATACGTTTCGACGCCCTCGCGATGTGTTCCGTGATTTCCGGGACGAAAGCTCCGAGACAAATTTTCGAGAAACTGGCGCCGCGATGAGACGCATCGCGGTTTCTGATGAATATATATATGTATATTCGTACAATTTCCCGTGGGCGGGAGAAAGTTTCCCGGCATTTCCGAAAAGCGCGAGATTATCATTGCGCGAATCGACATTGTAAATTGAAAATGTGTACGCGTGACGTCGAAGTGGAAAGATATATAATGGAAAAATATGGAAGGTATCCCGAGCGTTGTTGAATAAAGATGATGTGATTCTCTTGAATTTTTTAGTGGTCGCGCGCTCGTCAACATTCGCCGCTATTTTATAGATGATGATAAGAATTCCAAGTTTTTCAGAACATTTCCCCGAGTATTCGCAAAAAGAACTCTACTGAAATGATTATTTTTATCCCGGTAAATCTTCAATGTCGGATTTATTTTTATCTTTATGCAATGTGTTTCCAAGTCAAACATGTTTTATTAAAATGATTAGATCTCAGCGGATTAAAGAATCAAATTCTTTTTATAAGAATTATGTTCTTAAATTAAAGAATTAAATTCTACGAAATAAAATAATGATAACGAAGAACATTAGAAATGTATATATTATTCTCAATTTTAATTTTTCTGAATATATAATATCAGATATGCATCAGTACTTTACGTAATCCAATATGTTACTCATTATTCCGTAATGATGCTGCATTGAAATCGTATTATATTCATACGCGAATCGATTCTCCAATTATAGAGTTAAGTCCGACTCTTCATTGTTAAGTCTCAGTGGAAGATTCTTAATATTACATAAGCCACTTTCGCGAGATCACAGACACAATTCCATTATTTCTTTCTACATCTTTGTTATATCCATTTATTCGGATCAATATGTCGTTCGCTTATCATTAAAATTTATTATTCTGATCTAACATTGAATTATGCTTTATCTAAAATTTAGCGCAATTAACTTATTATTTGATCCAATTCAACAAGTAAGTTTAAGCTTTATCTAGAATTTCTAGAAAATTATACATTTGAATAATGCATCTAGAAAATTATACATTTGAATAATGCATTTTTTCGATCTTTAGGAATTTTGGTACCAAAAGAATTATGCATAATTTTATATTTTATATTTTATATCTTAACTGTATCTCTTTAAATAAGCAAAACTTATTTTATATTTTTATACATATTTTATAATATATTATTTATCAAAAAATGTGAAGTATTTAAATATTATAAAATTATATTTTTCCAAATAATATTTATATATTACTTATTATTACTATTTTTGTTCTTTTCAAGCTAACTCTCTTCAAACGATCAAAAACTTTCTATATTTTTAATGAAAACTATACGAGCGGCGTCTGCCTAAAGCAACTACTCGATCACTTAATTCCTATAGAACTGTAAATTCCGGAGGCCGACGACACATTGTTGGCACATTGAATCTGGTCCAATTCCCGTCAACTGCGGAAAGAATGAGATCAACAGGTGACGAATTCATCCTGGCATAGAGCAAGATAAATTAGCGGGCTTGAGAAATTTCACATCGACAAAGCTGTTGCTCGACTTTCCAGTGATTCAGAAATAAATCGCTGCATCGCGAGCGCACGGTTCATTTACTTTGGACGCGTAATTTTGCCTGTTCCAAATAAAATTTTGTACGTGTAATTCATTTGCGGAAAAATTTAATTAAAGAAATTTATTTCATTGTACTCTTTGTACCAAAACTTATTAAATATAAAATTTTAATTAGAGTAATTTTTGATTTAAAAAGAATTAAATAATAAATTTAAATGTAGACAAATTATTTTAAATATTATTATTTAAAAAAGATATTTTAATGTATTTTTATGATATCTAATTTTTATTTAAATATCAATTTCTCATTATTACATAAATTACTAAATAGTTGCATAAATCAAATAGTTTCTATATAAATTTATGGATAATTTATAAATTTTTGTAAGATAATTAGTTATTATATTTGATAAATTATAAGAATATTTTTAACATTTTTAATTTTTTGAAAACAATTTGTATAAATTATAAAAGGTCAAATAAAAAAATGAAATGCAAAAAGAAATAGAAAATTTAATATTTGCAACATTTAATCTACTTTTTTACATTCTTCATTATCACATATTTTATGATATTTTTCACTTTAATTATTATCATTATTTAATTCGTGTATATTTAATTCTTTGTTTCGCCAAGGTAATTCTTCCAAAAGGCAAATTTTATTTATTTGTCTTTCTGACATCGTCGTTCAGTTGTTTCATCAGAAAAGAAAAGAGAATCGTTTTAATCTTTTAAAATATTAATATAATATTATACTAAATGTAGTCAAATAAGATAAATAGAAACAAGATTTACCAATTATTTTTAATAGTCATGAATTGCAAGTTGAAAAATCAGGTCAATTGTTACATGCTTCTACGTAACTTTAGAATTACAGTATTGATATATTGTTAAAACAACAATAGGAACATACAGCTACAGTGTCAATATTATATTTAAAAAGTTATATTACATCTTAAATTTAAAATATATATTTTTCCCCAGAATGTGTAATATAAAAAAATCGAAGAATTTAAAGAAAAAATAAGAAAAACCTATACTTGTGTTAAAAAATTAATCTCGTTTAATGATCATTAGATCTCACAATTGTCATTAGATAAAACTAATCTTTAATCCTTTGATATGTCACATTATAATATTAAATATTTTGTCATATACAATTTTTTTGTAATTTTTATATCATATATAATTAGTTTTAAAAATTCATGTTTTGATAAACAGTCGAATTTTGGTGGACGAATGTTTTTTATCAAAAGAGAAGTCACATACCTGAAAAATCCTACACGTTGACGACGGGGAACTCGTTTCTGTAGATCGACATCTCGCGAATTTCCACTTCTACATGATGACGAGCACGTTTGTGCGTTGCGTTCTCTTCCTCAATTAAACGCTTCTTCGCGCAAAGTGATGAAAACAGCTTCTCTTAAAATGGATATCGCGCGATCCACCTTCGCGCCTTCGTTTTTGCTACATTTTGCCGCGTCGCCGCCGCCGGAAAAACACTGCGTCATGCCTAGTTTTTCGTTTGGTCAAAATTTAAAGTCCCGTTAGCGCACACGGGCAGATTCGACAGGGGAAACGCGAAACATTGACCTAATTTATGGCAGCAACAGTTGCGCCATTATTCCCATCGCGATGCTCGCGATTTTTATTCAAGGTTTTATCGAATAATTTCCAAATTCTTCTATCGTATTTTTTGTTTTCAGGTCCGCTGGTCTCGTTGACGATTTTATTAGATATCCGCAATTTAATCTTTCACAGACGATACGGTCACAAAACTATATCGGTCACAGCTATTCAAAATTCGAAACAAGTTCTATTCATGCTATTTGGACCATTAATCTACAGTTTTTCGAATCCAACGGGGATTAGAAATGTCTTTGTGGCCGAACAGTAATCTTCTAGTTCGTTAAACTTGCTCGAACATTGCAGGAGGGCTAATTTCGAGTTTTGCAGCTATATCCGTCTGCGCAAATTGCAGTCATTAATTCGCCTCTGTCTCCGATATTTCCATCCTTATAGAAACACACACACACATACTTCTGTTCACACTTCGTTCCAGTTTCGAGTAGTCGGTTACCATTAAGCATTCCGTCCCTCGATTGCGTTCCTTCACGTACGGATTCTCCCATTTCCGACAGCTCTGTTCTTCTACGAACATATCGTTATCCAAATGTCCATATACGTTATCGCCGGGATATATACATATATATATATCCGTTTCAAGTTTCCAGAACAGACAAGACGGCTAGGGCAGAAGATCACTTAGCTCCGATCACTGCCAATCAGCAACATACGCTCGTTTCAACCACGAGACGATATCGAGCGTGCTATTTCCGTGCCACGATGTTCCGTCCATAATATCGGGATGGCCGGTTCGACCTTGACTCCGATCGGCCATACATATGCATAAGGGTCCGTTCCCGGAAGCGTCTATTCGCGAGGGATGTATCGACCAGAGAGAGAGAGAGAGACGACGATGGCGGCGCTAGAGAGAACGTCGCGGAGGATCGAGGTCGTTGTTTTTCGGGGCTGCTTTTGGGGGTGAGAAAGGAGGTTGGGTTCGATCCCTCCCACGACGCGACTTATTCGTCCCAATTCCTCGTCGCGAGGACCAGCTCCGATGCCGGCCACATCCCGGCTAGATCGGCACCGCGAGGCGACATCTGATCCGGACCGGTTCTCACATCACGTCGCGATAAAGAGCACTCGCTTTCGCTCGAGAGTGTATATCTGGGGCAGGAAGCACCGAAAATCACCGACGGGAATTAACACCGATTACGTGACGCACGGCAGCGATGATGACTGGCAGCGATGACTGGCGCAGGGCTCGTGCACGCTCGTAACAGCATCTGTAACAGATAATGAAAGCCGGTAATGCGAGCTGCCGATATGATTTTGGGTTAATCCCGAACCCCCGGGCTTTCCGTGGTATTACGTTATACGCGCGGAAACAATAAACCCTATATTCATCGACCGAATGGAATATTGTTTGGATGCTTATTGAGGGAGCATTTATCAAATGTGTCAGAAATTTCACGAAAGTTACGTATACGGGGTGTATCTAAATAAGCGCGAAACATTTTAGAAGATGATTTGTTTGGTAAAAAAAATTAAGGAGGGTTTCTTATAAACATATATATTCTTATGAGATATAAATTAAGAGTTTCTAATTTTTTTAAAATATTAATAAATATTCTTTTTATTAGTGGAAAATATCCACCAAGTTTTATTTGATCTTCCTCTTTAAAAAATTCAGGGAGAGATTTGTTTATATAAGAAAGCCCCTTTAATTTTCGATAAAGAATCATTAAACATTTTTCGTCCTTATTTAGATACACCCTGTATATAGAAAACGAAACGAACAGGATTGGTGCTGCGGTATTTGAATAGGAAGCATCATAATAATATATGCAAAAGCGGATGATAGCCGATACTTAAAAGTTGCAAATCGTATATATCGGAGGATTAATATCGCGTCCTGCGAGTTCAAGAGACATTACGTTATGGATAAAATTCGTTCATCGAAAATGGGATATTTCTCATTTAATACCGTATATCGAACTGACTGTTATCCGGAAACTGCTGAAAATGTATCTTGTTAAATTTATTACAAAAGTTGGTAGCTATTTTGTGAGAGCTATGAATAAAGATTGATACGATACGTGCCATGTAAAAGCGTCATGCCGCTGTAGCAGCTAATGAAAGCTCCGATTAATTCCTGACTCGATCCTATCTGTGTTCTGTTTTCGTTACGTGTGATGAACTGAGGGTAAGTTAATTAGCCCCCAAGGACAAAGTATTTCATTAAGTACTAAATTGAGAGTGAATCAAGTACAATACATTGAAAAAATTGCTAACTTGACTAAACCTTTCAACTAAATTACTATTTTGTTAATTGAACATATTATATCAGTGTTTAAATACGTTTTGTTAGATTTAATGTTACATTTTATTTAAATATTTTTATACGTTTAATTAACAAAATAATATTTAGTTGAAAGGTTTAGTCAAGTAAACAAATTTTTTTTCAGTATATTATCTGATAATTGGGGCATTTTGTGAGGAAATTAAAAAGAAGAATAATTATAAAATTATGAAATTTATAAAAGATGCACATCCGTAATATATCGCGCTCTGCAATAAAATTAAACATCATACAGCTAGATTCTCCGAAATGCTATTAATTTTTTAACGTAGTTAGTTGTACCACGACCGAGTTCTGTGCAAAAATATTGTAATTATCCATCGTATAAATATTAAAAAAAGGTCGTCTAATTTAACGTTGCTCTCGGTTAAGCAGAAAGAGGAAGATTTAATGTCCATAAATGTTAACGTTCATTAATATAATAAAACGATTGTATGTATTTGTCTTTGGAATGCATATTTCAAGAGTTGAAATTAAAGAAAGAAAAGCTGTATAATCATCGCGCAGATAAATATATAAATTCGCTAAAGAACATTATCGAATGATATAATGTATTTGTTTTATTCCAACAAACTCATATGCATAAGCTGATTTATATTCAATGAAACGAGCCGCCGCGGAAAAATATAGGGGATGAAAAATTTGCAAATAAAATGATGCGATTATGCGATAATCTCGCAATGTGTTTGTGATAATAAGTAAAGTTTTTCGATTATATCTGACGTGTGCACCCATCACAGAATCGCGCAGCGTAATAATATATAATCGACTCCTTTTTCCCATCATGAAAAATGAATATATGCATATGTACATATGCATAATGTATCGTTAATAAACGTATAATATGCGTATTTTTTCGCGTAAACTTATCTCTTCTAATGCGAAATGACTACACCGTTATTAAACTTCGAAAACAGATGCAAGTTTAGAGGAATGACGTAAGAGAATGCAAAAGATCCGTATAATTTGTATTTTTATACGCGAAGGAGAGTCTTTAAAAATAGATATCTTTTTAAAAAAAAATTTTTCTCGATTTATTCTCTCACCAGAGAGCGTGGAATATAAATTGCGCTATAAAAAAAGGACTATACGTCGATAGTCCATTTAAATCAGTCTCTTAACATAAATTAGATTAGAGGGTAGAAACTATGCGTAGTCTACGCTTAAGCCATCCCTTAACTCGATAGTCAGTTAGCTCTCTAAGGGATTAAATAGATCGCTTAATCTTCTAGTTTTGTCCTTCGATAAGAAACCTGTATAACATTATTCTATTAGATTTAGGGATTAAATCATTTGATGGAATAATATTGTACATATTATTGCGCAACTTTGTTATTACAGAGAATTGAATTATATTCTACGTAATAATTAAGAGAAATGACAGAGTTATGTTATGTAGGATTTCCAACTTGTAAGCGATTAAAGGAGAACTTTTCGCAAATTGAACTTTGCAAAGTTAAAAGGTTAAAACAAAAGTATAACGAAAACTATATTTTTCTGTTAATATTTCAGGTAGGACTTACTTTTAAGAGAATTTTAATTTGAAACTATGTTATATATATATATATATATATATATATATATATATATATATATATTTAGTATATATATATATATGATGAAAAAAAATTAGAGCAAAATAATAGATCCGATATTTTCACTAAAGAAAAATCGACTTCTAATTATCGAAAGATGCTGTTAAAAGAATATTTCTACATTTTGTGGAACACTATATAAAATTAATGATCTCTTTAATGATTGAAATATATCTTTCTTCTAGAAACCATTTGTTTCAACAACGATATTGTAGTTTAATTACAAGCGATAATTAATTTTATAACACTCGGAAATTTGTTATGTCAAAATAAATAAGAAAAGTTTTTCTTTTGCTGTACGAAAACAACTCCGAGGATCGTCGAAATTACGGCGGCGCTCGTATCGATCGAGATAATGAAAATTAGTCAATCACGTGTGCTTGTACAGGGAATAATCCCTCAATCTCTCAGTACATACGAGGCAAATTCGGCCCCGTCGAGGTTTCCCGCCCAATTTCCAACATTGCGTCGCAGTAATTCGTTAGCGAATGGAGCGTTTTTTCGCGCGAAGACATTGCGACTGTAAAGCTCCAGTCGGCGGAAATAAAGGGAGTCTGTTTATCTCAGAACGCTCTCTCTTTTCTCTCTCTTGCCGTCGCGCATTCAGTACATTTGTATCTGTCGCCGTCGACAGAAAAATATCGTCTATCGTCCGCGGAACACCGCGGGACATACTTTACGAACATTGCGACGTCCCCGATGGCGTAATCATTTAACGAAGGCGTTGAAAAAAATTCATGCTCGTTTATCAGAGCCTGAACGTACTACTGCGACAGAGTTGGTAGTCGTTCCACGTGAAAAGTTTGCGCGCTCGTGTCTTTCACATTTATTTTTATTATAATTAAAAGTTAACAGTAATATCGTCGTTAAATTAATGAGATGATTATAATAATAATAATTATAATCATGTTTCTCCTTCTCTCTCTTTGTCTACAGCGTGTCTCTTAATTAGTCACGCCTGGGATCTCAGGATCTGATAACAGTTAACGAATATACTCTCATTATCTCTCTCTTTTAATTATCTTATAATTAATTTTATTTCGTGAAAAGTATTAATGTAATGTTACGTCTACAGTTTGTAGGAATGTGAAATAAATTATTGTTTGTGCCGTTGTTTGTGGTATAAAAAAGTAGTTTGCTAGTCAAAAGAAAATTCAATTACAAGAAAAATTAATTAATTAATTAATATCCAAGATATAGAATTTTGCCTTGTATCTAAATAAATGCGAACAATTTTAGGAGGGGTTTCTTATATAAACATATATTCTTATATTCCCCTCTGAAGAGTTACATTTTCCTCAAGAGGGAAGTAAAAATTAAGTTTTTATTTTTTTTTTCTCAAATTTCAGACAAATTAAAAAATAAAACTTGGTGGATATTTTCCACTGACAAAAAGAATATTAATAGCAACTTAATGTTTACCTCTATTATACATATAAGAAATTTAAATTTTTGACAAAGAATTATCTCGTAAAATTTTGCCTTACTTCTGTTTTTACGTACGTCTTTAGATACATCCTGTATATTATTTCGCAGAGCATCGCGAGTCTACATCCCTCTCCTTGTATCCCGCGTGTCCGAGAAATGTCATTCGTTTTCCCTGAATGTTTTTTTCCTCCGCTCCGCGTCGTCGACGGGAAACTTTGTGCATCGGTCAAGGGAAATAGTATCGATCCCTCTTTCTCGATGTCTCGAAATGGCGAAATTTAGCGGAACTTTCTTGTTAAGAAAGCGAGAGCCAATGTCTTGGAAGGCGGTTTGGGCCAAGGACGCGAATTTCTCCCCTTTGCTTTGGCGTAATCCTCGCTTAATTGCCGTCTATATCCCGTGACAGTGTACAACTATTCCGCCTGATCGTTCGTACCTTCGGGATCAATAGTGATTTACGTGTCACGGAGCGTAACTTTGACGTAACTATGTGGAAATGTCAGGTGGCACAGGTGGGCTTCGCGTGTGGGTGATGGCGAGTTTCTAAGGCAATGTTATGGGAGTTTTAGAGTCTTAGCGCTTGTTCATTGATGTTCGATATTGTGTAAGACCACTTGCAGCATCTTTGAAAGACAATATAATGCTTGATGTACAATAGATATATATGCGATGCGAGCAAGTGAAAAGAGCGCTTTCAGACGAAAATGCTTCCTTTAGTTAGATTTTATTTGTGGCAAAAAGCAATCCTAAATATCTCAATTATTATCGCGAAAAATAATTACTTGTTTTTATTAAAATATATCGATCTCTTTTATTAATGGAAAAATAATTTTATTTGATAAAGGTAATGAAAAACACACATACACATGAGTATGGTTAAATGAACTTTTTGATATCTGTA